GTCGGACCGGTACGCTTACTTAAAGATACTCCAGTTTCGCTTACAACCCGTAGTACTATAATTCAAACTAAGAATTTTGACAACTCATTTTATTTATCAATTTCTTTCATAAACTTGTCATATATTTTTTCTCTAGATTTCATAAAAGAAGATGCATCTGTTAAATTTACAAACATGATTCCTAAAAAACAACTGATTATACAATTAATTATATTCAGATGTCTCTTGTTGATTTAATCATCTGACATAATATAATAATCATGCTTTACCGATGATTCTTTATGACCCTTCAATAAGTCGTTTTTGTAATCCGACTCTTTCTTCAATAATGGAACTTACAACTCAGAATAACTTGGATATTTTAATCCTCTATCATATCTTCCAATAGTTTCAATTATTTTTTTAAACTTGTCGAAACGACAAGTATTAAAGCGAATTCCAGCTTGATAGAACAAGTGAGCAATGTGCTCAATCATTTTTTCTTTTATTTCCTTATCACAAGCATCACTTATATTTGACTATCTTAATTTTGCTCATATTTGACCTCGTTGCTTTTGTGATCCTTGATACATATATAAGTCTATTGGTTCCTTTTTTACCTTTCTTAATAATCATGATTTCTTTTTCTTTTCTATCATATACTTTGGCATTGACACTTTTTGAACGATCTTCTTCGTCATCTATGTTGAACATCGTCCTCGGGTAAAATCTCATAAGATATGTTCTTTTACATCATGTGGGCACTTCTTGCATGCTAATGTATTCTTGAAGTTCCTACTTGATGCTACTTTGAACAAAAAAATGCCACCTCTAGTAGTTTTATCACAAAAGATGCAAGTAACCGCATTAGGATCTCTAGGATTTTTAAGATAATTGTATTTTTAATCAAGATTTTTTCTTGAATATTTTGATGAATCTTCTGAATTGTTTTGTACACTTGTCATTAACCTTGAAACCCTAATAAAAGTTTTAAATAAATATAGATTAAAAGTGCTAAATAGGGTGAGATGTAGCCATAACGGTAGTGGTAAATAGGGTGAGAAAAGGAGTTACCGATGGTGGAACATAAGAAAGGTGTCACCAACGATAGAACTTGGGGAAGGAGAGTGCAGTAGTGATGGAGGAACCTTCGGACGACGACAGCAGTGGCAAATGAATTTGTGGACGGGTAGCGGTGACGATGGAGGGAGCGTAGGCATCGATGACGACTGCCTTTGGCGGGACCAAAGGTGAGTTGGGGTGGCGAAGTAGGGTTTAGGGGTTTTGAGGGGGGGCGAGGGGGAGGGTTTCTCGTTGGTTCCTTCAAACCAATTAGATACTGCTCGATCGAACCAGAGTTGACCATCTGGTTCAATTGTTCACAATCGGGCACTCACCCGAGGCGCCCGGCGCTTGGGTTCAAGCGAGCGCTCAAGTGACGCCTCATCGAAGCGTGTCGCTCGACTTATGTGCGAGGCGCTTGGGCCTCGCCTCAGCTTGCCCGAGCGCCTTTTTAAATCGCTGGTTCAAATATCAAAGGTTTTACAAATAAAACAATTAATTGTATTTGTCTTTTTTTTTTCCGTTTTGCATGTTTATGCAGTAAAATTTCTTAACGTTGCCTCACATTCATTAAATAAAAGTCTAATTCATATTTCTTTTCTTTCTATGTCCTCTTTTTCTTCTTTTGCATGTGGATGTGCATTTGCACGCATGAACATTTGTGTGCATGCTCTTTGCAATCTATTCTAAAAATGAGTTTGCAGATGCAGTTGAGGTCAGTCCATGAACTGCTATTATGCAGAATAGGCAAATCATAATAGTTCTTTTGTTGTTACCTACAAATATATTATTGGCTTATACCATGTCTCCTAGGCCTTATATTTGTCAATTTAGGTGTCCTTAAATTCTGCAAAACGAATGTAGGAGGATGTGCTAGCATAAGGATTTATCCTGTGTGTAATCAACAAGTAAAATCTCAATATTAATGTTTGGTACCACAATACCAACTACTTTTAGTTAAATCAAGTAATCATAAATACCAATGCTAGAAAACTAGATAAAGTATTGCCACCTATATCTAAATTTTCTGTCTCTTCCTCATGCTATGAGGAAATCTTATTCATTTTTTCTACTTCATTCAGTCAACAAAAGATCACCTGTGTTCTTTTTTTTTATTCTTTCTTCGAGTAATTCTGGTTAAAGCTCTTCAGTAACTAAACTAAGAGATATTATAAAGAGAATTTATACATGTGGCTAACCAAAGGATGTCTTGTTTACTGCTATCATAGACAGCTATGAATTAATTGGCTTAAGATTGAGAAATGGGCATTGTAGGACCCCAGGATATTTTCCTTCTTCATCTAGGAGGCCTTCAAATTCTCTGATTTTATTCTACCATTAATCTAAAAGATAAGTTTACACTAGTGTAGCTTCCTAAGTTGCGAATGATGGCTTCTTCAGATAAGCTTACACTAATGTAGCTTCCTAAGTTGTACATGATGGCTTTTAAAATTAAAGCACATTTGTAATTAATCAGATTTAAAATTTTAAATTAATCACTATTACCTTCATTTTTCTCTTTTTAATTTATTTATATGCATCCCTCAGTTCCGTTTTCTTTTTGAAGTGGTTGTAGCCTCTTTCATTTTCCATTGACAAACATGCTTTTTGGTGATATTTGCTGATGAGGTCTGTTCTTGCTCCTATATGCAGATATCTCACCGATTGATGCTCATCCTTCTAGCATGGACCTCCATCAGTTTTATGGATTGAGTGGCACAGACATATCCTATGAATTCCCTTCTCCAAGAAATCTGGCATGTGCTGAATGGACTTTTGATTCAATCAAATTAGCTATTGGCAATTCGCTGAGCTCCCCTTTTTCCAGCCAGTTTGAGTGTGACAATTTTTCTGCAATTAGTGATGGTAAAGGACAGACTGAATGGTACAGCTCTCCGTTAGACAATGACGGTGCATTGATGCAGTCCCAAGTTCGTCTTCTACCGGACACTCAGGTACCATCAGAATCAGTACATGCAGTTTCCAGCCAGAGGATAAGGTATGCTCTACAAGAGATTGAGACTGTTCTCATGGCACCTGATACTTGTGAACCAATCGATCCTGATTTGAATAAAGATAAACCACCTCAGCTCAGAAAGCAGGGGTCAAGAACGAGGACCCGTGAGGTCCAATTCGAGTCTTCTGATCCTGCACAGCCTCAATCTCTCTCTGTTACATATCTAGATATGAGCCATGAAATCCGTCCGGAGAAACGTCTTAAAAAAATAAAGTTCGCAGGTGGTGATGTGAAACAGCTTCTAATCAAGTGTGCAGAAGCTTTATCTGAGAATAAGATAGATAAATTTGAATTATTGGTTGAGGAAGCCCGAGGTGTTGTTTCTATCAGTGGTGAGCCTATCCAGCGTCTTGGTGCTTATATGCTAGAAGGGCTAGTGGCAAGGCACGAGTCTTCTGGCACCAGCATCTATCATGCCTTGAGGTGCCGTGAGCCAGAGAGCAAGGAGCTTCTCTCTTACATGCGGATCTTGTATGACATCTGCCCCTACTTAAAGTTTGGATATATGGCAGCGAATGGAGCAATTGCTGATGCACTAAAAACTGAGAACAGAATCCACATCATAGACTTTCAAATTGCTCAAGGTACCCAATGGATCACTCTTATACAGGCATTAGCTGTAAGACCTGGAGGTCCACCACATGTGCGAATCACAGGGATCGATGACCCAACATCGGAGTATGCCCGAGGAGATGGCTTGCAGCTAGTCGGGAAGATGTTGTCAGACATGTCCAAGAAGTTCAATATTCCCCTCGAGTTTAAAGGCCTCACTGTGTATGGCCCCGAGGTTACAAGAGAAATGTTGGAGATTAGACCCGGGGAAGCACTTGCCGTGAACTTCACTCTTCAGCTTCACCACACACCGGATGAAGGTGTCGATGTGAACAACCCTCGTGATGGATTGCTCCGGATGGTGAAGGGATTGTCTCCGAGAGTGACGACGCTGGTGGAGCAAGAGTCCAACACCAACACAACATCATTCTTGACAAGATTCATGGAGACTCTAGAATATTACTCTGCCATGCTCGAATCAATAGATGCGACGCTGCCGAGGGACAGCAAGGAGAGGATAAACGTGGAGCAGCACTGTCTGGCAAAGGACATAGTTAACATCATTGCCTGTGAAGGGAAGGAGAGGGTGGAGAGACACGAGCTACTTGGCAAGTGGAGGTCCAGGCTTAGCATGGCCGGTTTCAAGCCTTACCCGCTCAGCTCCTATGTGAACTCCGTGATAAAGACTCTATTGGGATACTACTCTGATAAATATACCTTGGTGGAGAAAGATGGCGCGATGCTGCTGGGTTGGAAGAACAGGAACCTGATCTCGGCTTCTGCTTGGCACTGATGATGGCCCATTTGAGATAAACCTTGAGGAACCACAGATGAGATTATTTGGTAGTGAACTTCCACTCTCTTATCCGATGCAGGTTTCAGCTATTGTTTATCGTACCTATTCATGAGTGCGGCATCTGCATCTCTTGTGGCAAACTTACTCCATTGCACCAAATGACCCAAGGAGCTTGAGGGTGTTAGCCAAATGTTCTTGAGATGATCATTATTCTCTTGGCTTCCTGTATAATCTTTTGAATGTTTACAATGGTTCAAGCCAACAAACTGGATGTGTGTAACACTGTGAGATATATGTATTTCTCTCTTCCACCTCGGGTTGAATCGATTGTTTGGGATCATGCTGCTCATGGTTTAAGAGAAAATACCATAGATCAGATGACACAGGTTGTAAAGAACATGCAAGATCAATTATAATGATTGATTCCTTTTGCATTTTCACTGAGTCTGTGATTAAAGTGTAGTAATCAAGTTTTATATACATTAAATTATAATTAACGTATTAATAGGATCATAAATAATATTTATATCTTATTTTCATAAGATTTGTAATACCTATGTCTTATGAATATGATAAATGATATATTCATATTTTGCTTGTATTTCAAAAATATAGATCATGATAAATGATATATTCATATTTTAAACCAAGTGTTTGCATTTCAAAAATACTATCTATACTATTTTACGAAATGTTAATTGAGCATGCATAAACATCAATATTTTTTAAACATGTTATATAACAAGAAGAGATATGATTCTTTCGTGCAACAAATTTAATTGTGTTAGCGGACTTGAATATGAGGTTAAGTTATCGTAATGAAAATGTATATAGTGACTAAGTGGCGATTGAATTATAACAGTCCTTAAGTAAATCTTGAATGAGTTTAACCATAATTAAAATAAATAGTTTTTGAGGTTTAAACATCATTTGTATGAAAGATAATAACTTAGAATTACATATGCATGAGTCTGAGTAGTGGATGGTCAATTTTGGGTGACCTAGGATCCGAATTAAGATATGATTTTTTAAATATATTTGGTATGATTAAGTTGGCTTCTAGAATGACTTCAATTTGAGTTTTGTTATGAACTGAAGTGCATAAATATGTTACATATAATACATGCATGCGTACGATATACATACATACATACATACATATTATGGCATATGATATGAAAATACACATATATACTATAACAACATAATATATGATATATATACATCATGAATCTGTTTGAAAGCTTGTAAATCTAAACACGTACGATGTTGCCAAAATTTTCCAAGGAATAATGTTGTATCTTTGTAGTTCTTTTCTCAACCTCAAAATTGATGTTTGCAGTGCCTCATCTGAGACCACTGCAAGTATGATCAGCACGCTCAACCGAGGGGTTGGTTATTTCTGTCTCCCTCAAGTCTGCTTTTGGCTAATCTTCTTCTATCATGTAACTGATACCAGAGCAGTATGCAATACAGGTTTACTTCCCTTCTCAGATTCATGTGACCCCATGCCGAGGTTCATCACCAGACGGGCTGTTTCTACAAAAGACACATATTTTTGTGCAAATATTGCTATAAATTTTTACCAACTATGCTTACTGACATTTTCCATGGCATCTGAATTTCCACAATGCCACCACCGTTTCTGTTTGTATAACATGACTACGTTGATACCACACCACAATCAACAAATATTACATCCTTTTCTCATAGAACTCCGAATTGAGTTTCGATGGAGTGTCCTCCTGGCGTTGGAATGCAAGTCTTTGGCTTCTCTCCATCGTTTCACCTCTTGTTAACTCCGAAAGGACAAGTGCAAACAAGAGCAGTGCTCAAAACCCTTCCTTTCTTGCTTACTAATCACACGAGTCGGGTGTATTCTTCCATCAATAGCTTAAAACTTCACTTAGAAAAGCTGTACAGCCAGTATTGGTCTCGCTGGCGAAATCTACACATCTAGTCATATTAATATTTAATATAAGGCTGCATCAAGCAAGAAGTAGACTGGATGCTTCAGCCGCAAATCTTTTCCTCCAACTTATGTCAATCTTGCAGAATCAGGATGAGGTTGATGATGGTAAAATCTGCAAAGAAGTCGAGAGATGACGAATCGAGGTCAGATCTCCAGTTAGCTTATCGATAGCAGTATAGAGTCAAAGGCAGGAAGACATGCCCAACAACTCCCAAGAATATATCATTCTCCGCCTCTACGGAACTCTTCAATAGTAAGCATGCATTGTCATTGCCCTCGACTAGTTTATAAAAAGATTTGCCTTCAGAGTCTTTTGGACAAAATAGAATCATTCCAGAAATGGCGGTACAGGATGCACCAGGGATTTTATCGGATCAGATTAATTTAGAATCCAAATTCAAATTTGACAAGTGCATGGATCCTAAATGAGTACCTATGCCTAACATTTCAGGGAAGATATTGAATTTATACACATTAGTGGGTAAGATTTACGATCCATGCCTGACCGAAAATGATTAATGAATAAGAAAATGCAGGTCCCGCTAACATCCCTAAGCTACATCACTGCAGGTCTTAAAATCAACTTTCTTCTGTGAAGTACCAAGATTTTTTATAAAGATTCGTAACGAGTGAAGATAAATGACTGTCAACAACATGCACTACAAACAATTTGGTCCTAAAGAGTGACACTGAGCAAGCTCATGAGAAAAAGATGAGACCAATTAGCTTCAATGAGACCAAGAAATGAGAAGAGGAAACTGAAAGAATAAATGATTTGAGTAAATAGAAAATTGCAAATCCATCTGATCTACGAGGATATGAATGGGCTGCAAACACTACAAATTTAGCAAGATATATAATACGTTTTAAAACAGAATATTCATTTATTGTACACGCACTATTGAGTGCACTACTCATTACAAACTATTAACATTATTGCAACTTGATGGCTAGTTCTGCAATAAATATATTAACACTGAAATAAACACAGAATTAAATTTTAAATCATAAATAAAGAAAACCAGAAAGCTGTAAAAATGAAACATGAAATGCTTGTGATAAGTCGGCAACCTAGTGTACCTCGACAATGAAAAGAAACTATAAAATAGATACAAGCTAGATTATAAACTAGGCTATACCAAAATGCAGAACACCATACGCGTTCATGGTAAACAAATGTTCAATCGGTACTGGAACAAGAGATACTTTTACAACTTTGTGAGGATTAAGAACTTACAGTTCTAGACTTCTAGGATGTATCTTGATTTCATCGTCTGCCTCGATGATGGCTTTTGTGATGTTCTGATTTTGAATGAGAAGTATGCTTCAAATCACTAGGTTTCTGATCCCGTACATCATCTTCTCTAGCATCCCTACCCTTATCATAGCCAGAGTCTCTAGTAGGAGATGTTCTTTTTTTACGCTTGGAATGTCCAGAGTGTTTTTTGCGTCTTTCATGACGATGCAGCTTCTTCGATCTGGATGTTGATTGAAAATGATCTTGTGGATCACTAGAAGAATCAGTCTCTGGAGTCCTGCTCCTTTGATGATGCCTTGAATGAGATCTACTTTCTCTTTGTTGATATTCATCATCAGAAAAATCAGCATCTGGAGTCCTGATCCTCCAACGATGCCCTGAATGAGATTTGTTTCTTTTAGGTTGATATCCATCACCATCAGAATGAGTATCAGGGGTTCTGCTTCTGCGTCGCTGAAGCCTTGTGTGAGTTGCACTTTTCTTAAGCTGTTGATGACCACTGGAAGAGCCAGTATCTGGCGAACTCCTTCCATCATGATATCTCGAGTGACTTCGGTTATTTCTGGCCTGGGATCGTGTTTTTTCTGCATCAACTTCTTCCTTATGAAAGTCAGAAAATCTCCCTCCGGCAGAGCCACTTACGAATTTATCAGCACTTTCTTTACAACCATTATCATGATCATCACCATCCCTAGCAAAAGAAGAAAGTCCTGTAGCAGATATTCCAGTAGGTGTTGTGTTTCTGGTACTTCCTGGAAATCTTTGTTGAGAAGCCATAACATCAGTCTCTGGAGGTGCCTCGTGGGTTTCCAGTGGGAAAATAGTTCTTTCATTCTTTTCAGGAATTTTGATTTCTCCAGCACAAGCTGTTTCTGTTATATTTGATGAACCATTACCCTTGAAAGGTTTGCCGGATACATCAGCTGGAACCTCCAGACCTAGCTCTTTACCTAAAGATTCTAAAAAATCTCCAGCAACCAAACGGTTTAGGGTCATGTTGGCACCTTCACTCTTCTTCACAGGATCAGCCACCTTGGTAGAACTACTATCATCCCCATCATCATCTGAATCATCAGAGAAGATTGCCTGGATCCATAAAGATAAGATTAGGCACATCAAGGTACCATGCCCATGTAGAAACTCAAATACAAATTACAATTATGTCATTATAACTTGGCATGTGCGTCGTGCGAAGGATGTGTTTAACATAACAGTTCATGCTTAATAAACATAGCAAATACAGGAAGAAACTTGTGTGCCTAGTACAAATATATTCTCTATACTCATATGTATGTTTGCAGGTATATATACACATGCATTCTCAACACTAGATGAAACAAGCACCTCATACACATGTATTTTTCAACACTAGATAAAACAAGCACCTTATACAGATCAACCGGCTTCTGCACACTTGCACTGCTTTGCTCAATCTCAGGCTCTTTGGAGTCAAGTTGTTTCTCTGCCACATTGGATTCTGAGTGAGATATGTGCATGAAATCTTTTCTGATAGTATTGGTCTCTTCAGACTTCACATCCTTTATAGACTCCGTCATAAAGATGAGTGTTTCCATCTTGCTTTTAGGTCTTGGCAAAGGTGCTGGCTGCAAACGGAAAGAAACAGTTTCAAATACAAATTTGCTACAAATTAGTCAAATGGAAGCAATGAATACATTTACAAATCACAAAGAAATAGACAATTAATATGAACTTTGCCATAATTTTATCATAGAAAACAAGGCCATCACGATTTTGCTTGAGATCCAGTATCCCTTTAGGTTCTCGACAGTCCAGTTACTTCAGAGTTACAAGAATTATGGTATTCAGGTGGACCTAATCACCCCTGAAGTATTTCATGGGTAACAAGTTCACTCGTAGGCCTGATATATGGAAACTTCAGGTGTAACTCAAGACTACACAAAGAGCTATTTCCAAGTTAAGCGAGCAACTCTCATATTTGGGCCAGGGATTGAAGTTTTACAGGTAAAGCAGAGTTCATTATGCACGTCAATCAATTTCATGCTTAATCTTCCACTCCAAAATAACAATTACACAACAGTTAAGCCATTTTGAATCTCATTCAGCTGGCACGGTAGGCATTCTGAACATACCATGAAAAATGGCACCATTCCAGCAACATATCAATCTTCCTGTGCCATTAACAAGTACCTTGCTTCAGGCAAATCTTCTCATGACACTAAAGTAAGAAAGTTAGATTGTTTGATATGCTTGTCCATCTATATATTTGGGCAAACCTTTTCATGATGCTAAAAACAAGACCTAGTGATTCCACAGTTTTCTTCTGACCTCTTCATCTCAAACTAAATAATAGAACTTGAAATTCTCTTTTCCAAATATGACATTTGTAACTTCAGCCACTTATGGACGACTTAACAGGCCCTAAGAGCAGGACATCAAAATGCCCATAACTCATAAGGAAATATCAAATGATTCTTTTACATAATGATAATATGTACAGAAATTAGATCTTTAATCAAGAACGACATATGATATACGATATTTAAATTTTGTCTCAAGTTATGTATGTAAAATAATTTTTTTTTGGGGGGGAGTGGGGAGGGGGGAGGAGGAGGGAGACAACACATCAATCTAAAGAAAGTACTTAACTACTAAGAATCTAAAACTAATCACCAATGTTGTAATTGGTTGAGCCTAAGAAACTGATTACTTATATACTCTAATGCTGACAAAGTCCATTTACACACAAGTTGAGGTCCTCTTAAAGTAAAGGGCACAACACAATTAAAGACTGAGAATGTGCTGTGACAGGTATAGCCAAGAGTTGATAACCATCATGTTGAGAATAGAAGCTATTCCTACGTTTGTTAAACTTGTTCACAAACAAAAATAGTGATTGAGACTTCGAGAGCAACATGTTTCATGCGAGAGTCGAACAGGATTGGTGCGAAGATAAGTTGCCTCAAAGATGTCACAAATAAGCATAGGAGACTGATGAAGATAAACTTCAAGTTGCTGCAGAAGATTAAACACCCAACTACAGCAGCGATTGGGCTACTACCCTGAAAAGGAGAAAGGAGGAGGCCATGAAAAAAAGCTAAAAAGTTTGAAAAAAAAGGTTACAACCTGACAGAAACCTGTACTAGGCATACCATCTGATTTACCTGGTCCACAAGCTATCAGGCTATCAGATCAGTAAATACCACTCATACCAAACTGTACTGGGTGTCCAGTCTGATTTACCTGGTTCACAAGCTAGTAGGCTATCAGGCCGGTAGATACCGCTCACATACCAAACTGTATCATATTATAAAACTTGGTTAACATTATGAGTGTTCTTAAAAAATTTCCTTCCATTCTTTGAGTGAGCGCTCTCAAGAAAAAAAGTAATTTCACTGTAACAATGAGAGAATTGGATAAGAGAATCAGATATTGTTTCTTGTCGGTCCATGAAAGCTTCATTCCAGGGATTGCAAAATCCTATTAAGGTGTAATTATCAGTCTGTACGAGCCAAACCAAATGGATATGCAAACACTCCTTCATTCTCGAGGAACATGACATGGAGTTCTTCAGAAGATATTAGGCTTTCTCTTGCTCGAATAGCTGCTGCAATATTTTTATATTCAGGATCATTACTCTAAATGCATAGATGATAAGGTCATCATCATCGATAAGAATTCTTGTTTGTGCAAAGTTATTAGAGAGACTCTTGGTGGTTTGTAGGAACCACGAAAGATTAAAAAGAGTCTCTCTTTTGGATGCGTGATGGATGAATAGGATCTGCTGGTACAAAGTTCTTGAAGTTCTCTAAATGCTGCACATGAGGATTTTGTGGACGCCACCAATGGAATGACTTCTTCAGAGAGTGAAGAATCCCATGGAGAAATTGATATTGTCGAGACCAAATGACAAACTCTGAGATGTTATGGTGTCATAAAAAAACCCAAGCAGGTTATAACCATACATTAGGGTATAGTTGCACCTTCCCTAATACCATAAAGAAGCTAAAAAAATGGTTGAAAGGGGATAATCATTCAAAGTTTAGTGTATAGTTATACATAAAAACACCAACATAAAAAAAAATAACAACCTAATTCCTAGGAGAGTTTACATCAATTATAATGAATGATAATTCCTAATCGAAATCCCAAAATCCTACGTGACAAGAATTAATTAATTTTTTTTCTTACTAAGAATCAGTACATACTTCTTGGTGTACATTAAGTGATTTCAACAACAGGGAGCTCAAAAGTATTCATCACCAAGCACATTAAAGCTCTAGTAATTCAATTTCCTAAAAGAGATAAGGATGCTCACTTTCTTGGCATTGAAGTTATTTCTACATCATAAGGACCGTCTCTCTCGACGTAAGTATATTAGAGAGATACTTGATCGTCACAACATAATTGATGCCAATGAATCAGTCTCTCTCTAAGCCAACTTATTCTTGGCTTATTCTTAATGATGACTTCTCATCCTCTAATCAAATCAATGTTGAAGTCTCATTGGTGTTCTACAATACTTGACATTAACACATCCCAATATATCCTATTGTGTCGACAAACTTGCTAAGTTAATGCATTCTCCTGCTCAATTACATTGGCCTGATGCAAAACACTACTTTGATACCTCAAAGCTACTAACCATTATAATGTTCATATTCGATGGCATGAACTGCCACTTATTAATGACAATATTGATGCTAACTAGACGGGTAATAAAAAATATTATACCTCAACAACTGCATATATTCTCTACCTTGATTGCAATCCCATATCTTGGTGTTAGGTGAAACAAAAATCTGTGGCAAGACCTTCCACCAAACCCCAGTACAGGGCAATAGCCTCAAGTGCAACTTAGGTAAACTTTGGTCTCGAATCTTGTATGACAACTTGGACTGCACCCTCATCAACCTCCTACACTTCTTTGTGACAATATTGGAGCAACTTATATTATGAAAACCCTATTTTCCACTCTCATGGAGCATGTTTCTGGATTACTATTTTGTTCGTAAACAACTAACATTGGGTTGTTCAGGTTGCTCATGTTTCCAATCAAACTCAGCTGGTCAACATTATGAACAAGTCTCTTCCTAAGTGTCGATTTAACCTTTTAGGAACCAAGATTAATGCCTCCAACGGGAGCCCCATCTTGCAGGGGTATATTAGGAGTGAAGCTCCTCAAGGAAACAATTGAAATGAGAATCCCCAAAAAAATTATTCAAATTGAGATCCTTAAGTAAAATAATTCAAATGGAGATAATTAAGGAACCAATCCAAAACTCACAAGAAAACAATTCAAGTGAGGATCCTTGAGTAATGAATCAATTCATATAATTCTTGTCATGTCAATTTTTAGGATTTTAAGTGGGAAATATGATCCATAGAAATTAATGTAATCTCTTCTAAGAATTTGGTTTATTATATTTCTTTATGAATGGATTATCCCTTTTCGATAATTTTAGCCTCTTTAGATAGAATATTGGATAAGCTTTTACATATAGGTTTCAGCCACATTCAACCAGAGATAACTGGCCAGAGATAACTGGCAGTAAAAAGCCATGATTCTTATGTGAAGAGACAACTTTTTATACACTTAAAATGTGTTTGAAAAAGCTAATATTTTCTCTCATAGACTCTGAAAGGTAGTATATTTGTTCATCCTAAACTTTTCCGCTTTAAATTGTGAAAAGGAAATATCATGCTTGTTTTTTTTTTTCTACAATAATTTTTTTGAAGCATGGAACCCCTGAATCAACTACTAGCAGGGCATTTCGATCAGGAATACAATCAACCAAACAAAATTAAACTAATAAGTATTCACAGATGGCATGGAGGTCCAATTATGCAAGTCTGCTATGCTTGTCAAGGTATAAGAGCAAATATCAACTTTAAAGATAATATATGCAAATATTAGCATTTTAAATAAAATATATGGGAAAAACATTTTTCCCTTGGACTATCTTTCTGGAGAAAGAAACAACAGATTGGATGTGAACTATCTCAGTTGTTGTGACTTGTGGGTGATGATAGATATATGTTAAGTTACCTTCCCCATGAATGGGTCTATAATGTCGAACCGTTTGCATAGAATGGGCAAAGGCCGCCACTGAAACTCCTCCCTCTTCGGATAAAGTTTGTTTGTCAACTTATCTTCATCTCGAGGAATTTGATGTTTCTGCATAAATTTTTATTATTGTATATGTTTATAAGTTTAAAAGCTAATATAGACAGGAATATCATAAAATCATATAAGAAGCCTCACTGTTAGGCCAGTTGATGCTATGAACTGTTGATCAACAACTCCTGATAAAGCTGTAAACTGATCCATTGATGAAGAAGCTATTAATTTTTTGCCCTTTTCAATTGCTTCAGCTGCAGCTTCAAAATCCAACCTCTCACGAGCCCTGTCATTCTCTGACATGATCCCTGAAGGTTGTGTAGAACGTAAACCTCCTTGATACTTGTCCTTGAGAAATTGCTCAAACCTCTCTTGCTTAGCAGGATCATCTTTGAAAGGTTTTGCAATTTCTAATAATCCAACCTATGGTACAAACAAGCACCAAACTTAGCATCCCCTAAAATATCAGATTGATTGGCAACAGATGAACAATGGAATCTTGTACACGTAAAGATGGATCTTTTTTATTAAAATGACACCTACTGCAAGCATTCATGTGGGAACAATTTGTTGAAACTTACAAGAGATACTGGTTTGGTGAATGTATCAGCAAGATTGGACTGCAGATTAATAAATTCTTTGACAGCAACTGCTGAGCTGGTCTCGTTGGAGGTTCTCTCCAACTTCTTCTCACCCAAAATTCTACCACGGCTTTCTGCTGTCATAGTCCGAGTAGATGATTTTGACTTAGAGTCCTCCACCAGCCTTAAATGATTGACACTTTTTTGCTTCTCTTCCCACAACTTCCTCTCGTAGTAGTTGTGGCCATCTCCTCCACTAAGAAAATAGAACAAGGGATTCGACCTGTTTTTTTCCTTTGAAAGGTCCTCAAAAATTTTCCCACAACGAGCAACCAAAGTTGCAAAGCCATCAATCAACAACTTCAAATTATTGTCTTCTGGAGGGGGAACCTCTGGTGGAGGTAATTCAGCAATTGTTGTTGCACTCTCGAGAGGGGCAGAAAACTTGTGATGTGGATCAAAATTGACTGGGATAACAGGAGGATGAAATCTGGACAAAGATTACTTTGTCAATCACAATTATGGATGCCTATGTAAAAAGTTAACAATCAAGAAATAGTATCTATCTAATAGATTTGACTCATGCAAAAGAGAAAAGGACAACGAAGAAAGAACCAACTCTGTATTTCCACACTCAGATTTGAAAAACAAATTAGAAACGTATGAGCTACCTTTCAATCGTATAGTCAGGACTTGATGCAACCTTAAAACCAGGCAAACAGTCATTTTTTTTGTCTTCAAGTCTGTATATGTTATCTCTGATCATTTGCACAGGTTCATCCTCGTCAACTTCAGTTTGCTCAAAGTCAAAACCTATAATACAGTATCTTAGAAACAAAACTAGTAAAAGAAAAAGAAAAAGGACAAGATATTGCAGCACTTAAAAGGAGATAACTTCCATTGGAAGTACATCCATTGAACAATGCAAGACACATGAGGTAATGTCTTGTCATCTCATGGTATATAAGTTTGTATTGTACTTGACATCAAGATGGTGCGTTCTGCGCAATATATACATAATTGTGATGATCAGGCTTAAATGACCATTTCTCAGTCGCAGTAGTCCAATGCTTAATGGTCAGTAGCTGAAAAAATTAAGCACTCTGATTAACTGGTACATCCCTAGAAAATTTATGACTCTTATGATGAGTCCAAAATACCAATTTTCATTTGTAAATCTTGTAATTTATTACCAGCATCATGAATATAGCATACTCATTAGTCAATGTCAAAATTGTGCTAGAATTATAATCAACCATAAGTATGCTTCCCATTAAAGGATCTGCATGTAAGTGCGTATCTAGGTTTTGCTTCTTAGAAATTCTATATTCCTTTTTAGAAACTGCATACACCATGAACTTGTATGTCTCATCAAAGAGTAAAATGCCTTAATATCAAAGATTTTACACAAATTTAAATGTCTTGTCAAAGAGCAACATGTATTAATCAAATTTGTATAAGTCCTCAAAAACCTCAAGGTGCTCTAGTTGAATATATCAAGGTGATCCTGAAAACTTCAAAGTTCAAACCACACTGATATTTTACCTGATGCATAAATGTCCTCATCTTCAAAATCAAGTTCTTCTAATGCTCCAATACCAAAGCCCGGCGCATATTTTCCTGCTGATGATTGAGTTAAAAATTATCAATCCAAAACAGTGTAATGAAAGTGTCACAAACCACAAGATAACAGGAATGGTCTATTGAAATTTAAGGATACTGAAACTCAAGGCAGAAGATCATCAAGAACAATAGCTTACAGTTAGAAGATAAAAGATTTCCTCTCACTGAACTTTTAATACCATGATTTTTTCTTTTAGACTCACGCAATCTTTTTTTGTCTGAAAAGTTGAAACAAATACCTCAGGTCAGAAAACGTTCAGCATTAATATTGACCAGAATAATCTAATCACCACTAATTCCAATACCTCTAAATTCCGGAGCATGCTTGTATGGATCATAACCCAATCCATACAAGTCCTGTTTTGGCTGCAGGACATACTCCTGAAACAGGTAGGCATAAGTGAGAAAATTAATTTCTGATCTTTAGTAATATTTGCTAAAAAATGTGACCCTATAGGCCTACTACAAAAGAAGAAATGTGCAACAAACATTAGCACAAAAGAACTGAACTTTCCATGATGTGCATTCTTTTATATGTATAAGAAATCATGATTTCACAATCCTAAAGGAAGATTCAAATGTGAGATACAAGCAACCTTAAACATCATTTACATTACTATCAAAATGCAATTTGTACTTGAATAAGAGTGAGCTTTATGATTGAACAAATAGCAATATTGGTCAAAATAAAATAGATACAGCTGGATCTCACTAAGAAAAACAACTCACTATGGCTTGAGAGAATATAGTTAGACAAACAAAATCAAAAAACACAATACAAAAAAAAAATCACCCAATTCACCTTATGCAACTAAGGGAACACTGCAGTTTTCATAGGCTTGGACAACTAAGAACAGTTGGATCAAACTACATTTATTGCTTACATCTTCTAGACCTGTATTATTGTTTACCACATTATGCAGAATAGGAAACTATACATTCAATATGGCATACACTAATCTGCAGCGTCCGACGAGGAGGAGGCGACATCTAATCTGCAGCGTCCGACGAGGGAGGGCGGTGACGGATCGGGATCGTTAATGGAGAGCGATGTCGGATCTTTAGGTTATCTTTTTTCTTCTCCCTTTTCTTCCTTCTTCCTCGGCTAATACCACCTGGTAGCGGGCAACGACGATCGAAATCGACTGTTACCAACCAATTTCAGGCTAACGAGGCAAAAACAGCCTCAATCGACAATACCGCTCGGTAGCGGGCAGTCTGCGTATCGGTCTGCTGGCGGACCAGTACGTACCGTTTGGTTCAAGTGGCATCATTCGAAATTAAAATCCTTGCTGACACCCACTATGTCAGCATAACGATGGGCACTGAGAATGAGGAACGAGGAAGAGAACAAGAAGAGGACTAGGAGGAGAAAATAGAGATGGGGGAAGAGAAGGAGAGGAAGAGAGGTGGTACTGAGCAAGACAGGCCTGTGGCAGATCGCATGAGACACGAGGCACGGAGGCTGGTCGAGATCAAGAGAGAAGGGGTATTAATAGAGGGATTTTCTAAAAGACCAAAACCAGACCCCAACCATCCGAAGTAGGCTGGTTTCTGTTCTCCATTCATGGTCGAATAAACAATTACTACTAACATATATTTGCGAACTATGGATGTAGCAACAATCAGTTACTGCTAAGGTAACCAAATATACAAAGCAAAAAAAGTCAAGACATATCTAATGTAATACAATAAAGTGTGATAAAAGAAGACAATTGAGAAGCAATTTTAAAAAAAAAATCAAAAGATTTTTTAGTCATACCTTGCTTACTGCCAATAATCTCTATAAAAAAGCAACAACTTGATCATCAATGAATGAATATATCATATTTGCAAAAGAAGAGTTATAGGAAGACAATTAAAATTACAGATACAAAATGGCAAATTTTCACAATTTTAAAAGTCCAATAATCAAGGTTTACCAGTTTCAGTAACCTATCAAACCAGTATAGTACCAGCATAACATATGATATATAAATTTAACCAATATCATTGGATAAAACGATAAAAAAGAAAATAGTATTGCATGTTTCCATACTGGTACTTACAAGTTACAACCTCATTTCAATTTTCAAGTACTGCTGTACAAAGGTAGAAAGAAAACTATTTTCTGTCAAGTTACTTACAGGCATGCTTTTTGAAGTGTATAGGCCATTGTTCACTCTTTCAGCATATTCTTCAGAATCCCATGCATGTGATCCTTCTTTAGCTGTTTTAGCTCCACCCTCATTACCAGAAAAAGCAAGAAATGCTTTCCTAGCTTCTCTGCGTGCTTCTGAGAGTGACAAGGATATTTGATCAAATATCAAGATAATTCCAAGATGGCATAGGATACTCCAAAAGCACAACCATAAGACTAGTGGAACATAATAAGCCTTAGATGCAGCAGAGGAGAAATTTGTAGCATAGGACTTCAAAAAATACAACTTCTAGATTGTAGAGCTAGAACACCTTATATAATTGGCTGCCTGTATAATATGAAATATCCAATTTCTTAAGTGACAGAATATATGGGAATTAGAAAGTAACACCTTACACAGAGAACACTACACAAGGTACTACAGGTTGTAAGTTCTAATTTATGAGATTCTACAACATAATCTTTTAACTTCTGCAGGTTGCTGCCTGAGCCTCCAGATTATGGGAATTTTTCAAATGGATTTGTAGTATCAAGATAAGGATCCAACTGGATAGGATTCTTCTTGTATTTATGTCCACAAGAACCATGCCCAGAGATCATAAAAAATTATATACGACCACGAGCTTCCCAGAAAAAGGAATGCATATGGAAGACTAATCAGGTCATAAGATTCTTGGATTTGCTATTACTAAAACTTTTGTTGAAAACCAAACTCTTGTGATATATGTTTACATTGTCAAATAAACCATAGATATTAGCAATCCACAATCTACAATTATGTTCGAAGTATATAAAAAGTAGTTGTAGTAAGCCAGGGCTTAAATATCAATCTGATGCTAGACTCAATTATTTACTAGAATGCTACAGTATCAATATACCTAATGGTATACCAATTATCCCACCCAGTATCACCATAAAAGTATAATAAAAAATAATGCTGGTAAATTTACCTAATGGTATACCAGTTATCCCACCCAGATGGTCTAATACAAGTCCTTGGTCGGACTGGTAGATACCTGATAGTACCCACTGTCCTCAATGGTAAGTAAATCGAGCAATAAAGAGTAGTGGTAAGAAGATTGAGCATTCTCTATGACACAACACATGAATGTAGAGTAAATGACATTCAGAAGATAGAGATGAAGATAACAGACAAAGATTGAGAAATAATAGTTACTAGTAAAGTGTTCAGATATTCTAATTCAGAAAGCCCAACCAAGCAAATGCAGTGTGGAACATAATAAGCAATACCATATAATGAATCAGAATGTGTATCCTTTATCGAATGACCATGGCGCCATCCCATTTTGAGCAATAGCTTTACACCTATCAAGAAGCAATGCAAAGGTGTAAAATAAAGGCATAATGGTGCTGCCACCTTCTAAAGGTTTCGTAAACATTTTAAAAAATTTAGCTATTCAATTAATTTAACAAAAAATACAGACCAATAGAATTTGATGCAGGAATAACTATTTCATCAGGTACTGGTCCTGGAATAGCTGATGGCCTGCACCATAGAAGGTAGTGCTAAATGCATTAAAATCCACTTACTGAAATTCGAATAATTTAGATTTCAAAGCCAACATATCATATTTCATAGACAAACACCATAGACTGGGTAGATCTATTGCTAAAAGTTTAAGCATTTTACTAAAGTGAAAAGATTCAATTAAAACATATTCATAGAAATACAAGTACACAGGTATCTTTCAGCATTTGACAGAAAGAAAACAAAAAAAACAATGCCGATTTTAACATCTAAGTAGAAGGTTAATAACACAGAGAACACATTACTCACTTTAAGCTTCACACACTTCATATCTAGATATCAACATCAAATCCAACCCAGCCCAAATATAAAAAGCAGTAAATGTTGAAAATATTAAAAGAACATTTCAAAGTCTTCTAAAAGTCATGCAAGAAAGTGAAATAGAAATCTTTGATGGTGACATTGCAATAGACGTAAGTCACAAAACTAACTGCTAAAGAATTGCAATTACTATCCGAAACAGAGAGCTACTAACAAGGGTGATAATCTAATCAACAATAGTTAAAAAGATATTTCATAGCTAATTAAGTTTCACACTGAACAATCACCCAAGAACAAGTATCGTCATCTGGAACACATGGAGAATTAGTTAAATGAAAACAAATAAAACAGGAATTACCTCCAGGATTACCGACAGATCCTCCAAGAGTAAGAATTTTGGAGCATCAAGCAATTCCAAAAGCAATCATGCTTGTTTTGAATGTATTATGCATGAGTTTAATGGCTTCGATGTTGAATTGGTGTTAATCCTGATCCAAGTTGCTCCATTTATGCTATCAAATAATTGTACCAAGCATTTAACAGCCAATATTTAAAATATTATACGAGTACCATGGTTCGCCTTACTGGTCCATAACAATGTCCCGACCGGCCATCGATATAGTACGTACCAAACCATAACAATATATCAACACATAGTATGGTAAGACATACTAACAAACTGGCATATACCACCTATACCGATCCCCTATTGGATTGGTATGTGCCACGCATACCGAGCAGTATGTCGTGGTACAATGAACCCTGATGAGTACCATAATCAAGAGTTTTAGTTCTATTAACAAGTTTATTCATGTGTATATATGAGGATTGAATTGCTTCATAAGCAAAGTGTTCCATCTGGCCCTACTTCTAAGCTCTCCCCATATCTAAAGAAATTTTGGAAGGTTTCTCTAAGTAAATTTAAAATAACCTACCTGCTAAGCCTTTTAGGCATTTGGAGAATCTTTCTTCCCTTGCCTTGCTAGCATCAAATTTCAAATTTTAAAAGGTTGATTACGAACCACAAAATATAGTCCAACTCCAACCTTCCATGTTGGAAGAACCTCCCACTTTGTAGAGTTATGGAGCTGGGACTGACGTAGGCATTTCAACAAGACAACCTCTGCCCAATCCTTGAAAGCATGTGGCAGAAATCATAGAAATTAGATTAACATTTGGTGATGGCAACAAAAGTAATGAAGACAATGTGTCATATAAACATGAATAAATAATCAATTGAGTCACAAAAGGATAAAGCAAGATGCCACAGCTTGGTTGAAGATTTCGAAAATCATTTGCTAAGTGTGTCACTAGTCACAAAAATCCCCTAGGATTATAGAATTATAAAAGGTATAGAGCATTCACTTCGAATAAGCAAAGGAAACACAACAAATTGTGCTAGTCAGGCCATTAATAGAAACCTAGTTCCTAGCTGAAGTGTGCTATCTGCATGAGTGCATTTCCAAAAAAATTGCAGATTTTGGGGGTAAACAGTTGAATCACAGAGGAAATATTTATTAGATTCAGGATTTGTGGTCTAGCTAAGGCAAGAAACATGACAACTGCCGTTTATGAGCTTGTGAACTCAGTTTTTCCAAAGATGTAAGATGTCCCCAAATACAACTAAGAAACTAGGGATGATCAGTCGGGGGCAAATAACAATAAAGAATTACAGGAATATTTTGATTCTTGACAAGATTAAAATAGGCTGGCATTGCCTCAAACTGATGCTAGAGACATGTAATATGTTAATTGTAAGAACAGAATATGCTATTTTTAAAAAAAATTCTAGACTAGATTAAAATTTTGAGGGCAGGTTAATTCACTGGCATTCACACAAGCAAATTATATTCATAGCTTATCAAAAATGACCTTTTGAGTTGATCTTTCTCAACTTCTTTTCGAGCAAATTCAGCAGCAGTAAAACCAAATGTATCAAATTGCATAGATGTTTCCAATGCTTGGCCTCCCATACCCTACAACCAAATTCACAATAATTAGAAATGCAAAAACCACATTCGCAATAATTAGAAATGCAATAACTAGAATCTCTTGTTTGAACAAAATAAAAGACAACTTGATATTTGATAAGATAATTATTGTAGTTCCTTTATAAAAGCAACAAGTCACAATCTAATTTCTTGGTAAAATAGTTAGGCATGCCCAAATGGAAATTATTTTTATTACTACAAGCTGACATTATTACCAAATGGCAATAAAGATGCCATTCAAAAAAATCAAGTTAGAGGACTTGTCACTTGATAATGGCAAACCCAAACAATCTACAAGAATACACCCTTATTCAACAAGATGACAACATGGAAAATAATTAAAAATATCTCCTGCTCTGTGTAGTTAGTACGTCAGAGAAAAAATAAAGGAAATATGTATGGAAAGAGCAAGAATATAGCAGCTCCTACAAACCATTTATTGATGCAGGGTGAAAGAGGTCAAATACAAGGCACATAACATACAATGCACGCTGGTTATGTGCAGCAGATATGCATCAGCAAGCATTCAGGTATGCATATATGTCTGATGTGCTCACATATCATGCACAGAGACATGGAGAATGTAATGTATGATCAGAACAACATAGTAAGGCTGTCTTTAAAGTACTCAGTAAACAGCAGATTCAGATTTGTTCTTCTTTCAAGATTAGGACTCACCGCAATAATCACAGGATAAATCTGAAATATCATTACAATACTTTATGAAGATGAACAGATAATGCCATGACATGCCGTTTTTCATCATTCACTCTGTTATCAGTTATGATCAACAATATTTACACAAAATGAAATAACTAAGCACATTTATCCTCAAACAAAATGAGCTTACTGACTATGCTCCAGTATAAAGCCCTACCTCAGAAGCTGCATCAATTTCCAAAATCTTTCAGCCTCGGCAGACCCAAAGCAACATTAAGTAGATAATCTGATCATCGTTACATCAAGAATATGTGTAGCTAATTTAATCTATGCACTCAATCTTATTAACCAACTGGAAGTATGAACGTAGATGCTATGAACTTAACAAGTCATTCCCTTGGCTTATCAAATTGTGACTTCTTAATATCTAAGTAAAAAATATCCGCAAATAAAACAAAATGTATGCAAATACATGAAGTCGTATACAAGTCTTTCAAATACCATTCAACAACTTCATAGTAATGCTTCTCAAAATAAACTTAATTTCCGGCAATACAAATAAAGTTGTATTTAAGCAGGACTATAACATATATTTTATTTCCAGATGTATAAGACAAGCTGCCAAATGTTCAACCAGGATTCAGGTGGACTTTGCAGAACTATTAAGTAAAAGATTAAGAAAAGAAAACAAAAACTACCTTTAAGTCATCTTCATCTAGAAAGTTATATATACTCTGTTGTTTCACCTCAGCTCTATTTTTACGTGAAGAACTAAAAGTCTGAGGAGTCCATCCTGCAATTTAATTCAACTTATTTCTTTAGATTCTTATTCCTATGGATGGCTGCATAATTTCGACCACAAAACATATCAATTGTCAAGTCAAGAATTTGAATTTCAAGCAGACCTTCTTTTGAACCAACAGTATTGTAGTAACCAGCAGAAAATCCTCCAGTAAATGCACCATGAAATCTTCTGCGTCCTTCTTCATCTCGGACCTGAAATATTCAGTAATTCGAGCAGACAGAAAACAAAGTCACAGATAACAACAGTAAATAGAACTGCCAGCTTTACAACTTCTCTTATAAGTGCAGGTGAGAAAAGAAAAAGCTACATGCTCAAACCCTTACTGAGGACACAATGTGACAGCATAACTCAAGGAAAAAAGACACAACCTTTTTATAGATAGTATATTAATGCAAGAATATTCAAGTGGCACTTGTACACCAAGAAATAGGCCATATTATGGACGTACACATTTGCAGCATTGTTCAGCACATATATTTGAAAAGCACATCTTTCAAAAAGGGAAAGAAAACAAACAGATGGCCACGAAAGGATCTTTCATGAGCCAATAGATGGTCACAGGGAAGAAAAAAAATCAACCAAAGCTCCTGCTTCGAAACCCCAAGAAAAAGGAAGGGTGACAGACATTTCATCTAGTAGCGTTCTGATGGAATTACTGAAGGCTAGAAACCGGTATCTTGCAACACTAAATTGGTAAATTCTTCGGATTCCCACGCCAAAATAAACGGACTAATAGAAGAAAACGCAAAACCAGGAAGAGTGGGAGAACAGAATACGAAAGAATTATCGGGAAATGAGATTAAAGAGGTCTAAATGCGAATTCTTGCAACAACTAGGTTGGCAATTGTTCGAATCCCATGTCAAAAGGAAACTTAATCCGACAAACAGAGAGATAGAACCAGGAAGATTAGGAGAGCAGAAAACAAAAGGAATTGACAGAAAACGGGACAACGAGGAGGAGGAGGAGGAAAAGGAACCTCTTGCTTCCATAGGGGAAGGCTCCGTAGCTGGCCGGCGTCGGCGACGGCCTTCCTCTTCCGGGCGGATGTGTCCTCCTCCCGCTCGATCGGTGTGCCATAGAAGACGAAGTCCTCCTCGTCCTCGTCCATCGCCATTCGCCGCAGTGCTCCGTCGTCCCGGGAGGAAACCCTAACGAAGACGGGATCCAATCGCAATGGCAAGAGGCGACACTTGAGTCGGGGGCAATGCCTCGTGTTTCTTGCCACCTCAGCCTACCGCATCCCTAGTCGTGTCCGCAGCCGTGACATCAAGGGTTTCTTAATCTTCTACCCGATCCGTTTAGATCAAAGTTTTCGTATGTAGGAATTAGGACGTATTTTGATAAGAAAAATAATTATACAAGTCAGATTCGAATTTGGTATGTCAATAATTTGTCGCATTTAAATTTGAGTCTACCGTGAGATTCATGAACAGATGTTAAACGGCAATGATAGTGAAATAATATTTGATATTTTAATCTTATCCAACACACATAGTGGGAAAATTTCTTCTTAATCGGATTCCAAATGAATTTAGATTAAAACTATCATTAATTACCCAAATCAGATATTGAGCAAATAAATTTATTGTTTCTTTATTTTTTTTTAAAAAAAAATATAAATGATTTTTAAATTTTAAATTTAAAAAATATTTGGTAAATTTGTTCTTTACTATTGGAGAGATCGTTTAGTTGCCAATACATTTTATTTATGTTAGTGAACAAATGTGCCGTGGTTGGTGAGTCAACACGGCCTGGTCCACGAGTCGATATCGGGAGTTATGTCGATTGAGCTGAGTGTCGAGGTCGATCGGGCCCTCGCGACGGGGTGCTGATCAGCGTTCCTTGGTGTGCTAATCTGGGCACTGTGTATGCCGAGCTACGCCTCTCCTTCTTCAGGGTGGTTGGCAGCTCATCTTCGTGAGGTGGCCGCGACCTCGAGAAGGGGTGTTGGTTGGCATTGGTCGAGATCCGGACCTGTTGGCTACTCTCCTTCGTGCACTGGACAGCGATTCTCGGGTGGTTGACAGCTCGTCTTCGTGAGGTGGTCGTGTTTTCCTACAAAAATGACCCTCGTCGGGATCACCTGAGAAGGCCCCTCCGACGAGTAAGTCAGTCAAGTAATTGATTGATTTTTTACCTCCCTTTTTTCTTTCTTTTGCAAGATGCTGACTAAAGGTCTTTATATTACTATACGTGGGTCGGTTGTACGCAGGTTGGCGTGGTAGACGTGTGGAGCAGTGCATTAGTATGGATTCTAACTTGACATGTCTTGGGGGCGACAATGCCTTAGTATGGATTCTAACTTGACGTGTCTTGGGGGCCAAAATATGCCGTATCAATTTGTATATTCTGTGTAAGATTTATTATATATATGGTATGTAATCTTTGGTAATAGTTGATAGTATATTTATACACAAAAGCTAAATGCTAGCTAATCTTAAAAGGAAGATTAATTATATATTATCTCCTATGTTAGGATTCTATTAATATTATGATCTTTGTAGTTAAAAAATTTATATTATAATTTTTATAATTTTAAAAATAAAAAATAAATAATTTTATTTGTCCTAATTTAGAAAGTTAGATTGATTATTAACATAACATAATTTTAATATTTTTAATGAAATATTAAAATTATATTTTATAAAAAAAATATATTACAAATAAAAAACAATTATTTTTTAGATTAATTCTTCGATATAATTGATGACGACAGAGCAAATAAGGTACGGAGTAATTAGCCCTCGAACGGAAGAACCGGACACGATCAGCCGGAGGTAAACGCAGGCACCACGAGAGCCAGTCCGCTAAACTCGCGCGGGTGGGCTAAAAGATGCTCTCCGACACGAAGCCGCCAGTCGACGTGGGTTGCTTGATGGATCAAGGCCGGACGACACCGTGAATAATTTGCTAAGCTGGGGACAAATGTAACATTCTCTTGTTGTCGGCTCTCCTGTACAACCGGGGCCTTCTCTCCGTTCCCAGAGCCCCCTCGATTATTCTTTCGCGTTCTTGAATCTGGGAGTTGTAAATTCCTCTATTCTTTCGATCAGATGTCGGTGATGGAGCAATCGATCTTGGCGGGTGGGAGGCTCTCGAATTGGTGGGATGAGATCAACGAGTCGCGGCAGTGGCAGGATGGGGTCTTCTACTTCCTCTGTGCCGCCTATGCCCTTGTCTCCTCCGTCGCCCTGGTTACGCTCTTATCATCTCTTTCTCTTCCTCTACGCCATCTAATTATTGGATCTGCATGTTGAAGTTGTGATTTTGTTGTTGGCATCCCGGACTCTGAGCTGCTTTCATTTTTGCGATTACATTTATATTATAAAACTTCTGAGTTTTGATGCTTTCTTGCTCTCTCTAGGACTATATTACTTGGGAAATTTAGGATTTGTTTGCCTTTGATTTCTGTATGTTCAACTATGTATTCTCTATATGTAATTTCTTAGAAAACCATCTTTCTTCAGATTAATGTTATATCGCTGGTAGTTTTATAGTCTGCTGGTTAGTGTGATTTTAGAAGGTCCAGGGACTAGATGAGTAATTGTTTTTCAAGTTTTATAGTCTGCCGATAAGATGCTGTAATTTCAAGAGGGAAGTAGACACAGCAGTGAGTGCTTTAAAATTCCTTGTTTTAGTTTTAGAACTATGAATTTTGCACCTCCTAGGAAGATCGGGTGTTTAAATAATTAACAAAGTGCTATCAAAACAACTTCTGAGATAACAGTTTCTGGTTGTTTGATGTTGAGTGGGGTGTTCATTGTTTGCTGCTTGTTGGTTTGTGCTTTTGTAGGTTGAGTTGGCTTTTGTCCTGTAACCATTGGTAACAAATGCTGGGGCCATTCGTCGGTTGTGTTCATTTTACCAATATTTAATTGGATATGATAATCGATTTTTACCTCAAAAATTAAAAAAATCTGATCCGATTTTCTATTTTCTTCCAATGCATTGTTGGCAATCCCAAGAACGTCCATACATCTACATATCTTGGTTGGAGTATGGAGTTCCTGAATTTCTATACATCATCTTCAGGTTCAACTGATCAGGATCCAGCTACGAGTGCCTGAATTTGGTTGGACGACACAGAAGGTTTTCCATTTTATGAACTTTATTGTAAATGGAGGTGAATGCAACAACTTGATCACCGATCACTATTACTTTTAATTTCAATGCTCATTAGCACTTACTAATATTTAATATTTGTTGCAGTACGTGCTATTGAGTTTGGATTTCATGCTCAAGTATTTCTTTTTCGGCACAAGGTAAATGTGATTTACTGCTAGTCAACAACCTGTTCTAATGAGGCATCTAGGTTTCTATGTTGTTAAAGGGTCAGGGAGTGAACAAGAGTTCGGGACTCATAAAGAAGTAAGTTTATTGCTATAAGAATTCGGAAGAGAGCAAAATGTAAGCAGAGCACAAGTATTAACAGTTCTCGCTCATGATTTAGAGTTTTCTTTCTACTTCCCCTCTTCTAATAAGTAATTATGTTTAGTAAAAATTAATATGTTAATTTAAAGAACTCTCTCACAATTATCTTGCTAAGAGGAGTTGTGAATAAATTCTTGAACAATTTATATAGTTTCCAGCCAAAGCTTGGTCAAAGTGTAAACCTTTAGGTCCAAATTCTGCTATGTGAATAAACAAGCAGTAACCATTAAAATCCTTCATTTTGCTTAGATTAGTTGTTTGCCCTTTAATCTGTGCTAGATGGTTAGAGGTCCAGATTTTTCTGGTTAGGTCATTGAGCAACTTTAGTAGTCCCAACTTTGGGTGCCTGTGATATCAAGTAGATAACAGGCTTATTTTTCTAACCGTCTCTACTGGTCATGCTTTCTATTTGGTTATATTGGTAGCTTGTTTTACATTTCTTTACAGGGTGACATCATTTTGTGACTTTTTATTTCTAAAATTTCTTTCTTTTTCAAGCATCTGATTATTGTTTGATATAGTTATTTACCAGGTTTGGTAACTGATATGGATATTTTGTTGTTCTTCTACTAGGTATTTACTTTAGCTCTATTAGATCTTCCTGGTTTGTTGTTCTTCTCTACATACACATTGCTTGTCCTGTTCTGGGCAGAGATATACTATCAGGCAAGTTTGCTAATTATTTTTTAGTCATATGCATGACAATGCGTTTTATTCATAGCACATATTCAGCATCTTTAATAAAATTCATTTTTCTTAAATTTTCAGGCAAGAAGTCTTGCAACAGACAAACTAAGGATCGTATACATCTGTGTTAATGTTGTAATTTATGTTATTCAGGTTTATGCTTCCACCACTGCTTTTACTTTTCTCTTTCATGCATTTTCTTTCAGTGGTTAAATTGATAAATGATGTGTCAAGGAATCAATATTTTCTTGGACCAAATACTGATTATTATGATTGATTTATTTAGTTGAGTTGGGTTGTACTGTATTCTTTGAGTTGGAGCAGCAGAACTATGCAGACTGATTTTGGAAAACCTGTACTAGATAATTACACAGTTTTGAATGGCTTCAGGATAAGGGTTTGGTTTGGTCTGCTACTGCACTTAAATGAATTATAAAAGCACATAAGATCATAGTCTGATGACTCCAGTCAAAGACTTTGAGAAGATCATCAATTTGTCTTTGAGACAATCGTAGTCTATTTGAACCAACAAGACCAAAATTTATTTGATTGTGGTTTATTTTCCTTTATGGCTATTGCCAATGAAAAATTGGTAGTTTTACTCTTCTTCCTTCATTAATTGTTCTCTTATTGCTGCTCCTCCTGGCTATGTAAATGGGTGCACTCCAGATCAACAAAGTCTGCAAGCTACCTGATCTGCTAGTGTCCAATTCAAGTTGACCTAGAAACAAACTTTGGCACTGAATTTATTGACTTGTGTGGTAGTTGTCTGAGCAATTTGCTCAGCTTTCAGTTTAGTAGGCTTCATTCTTTCTTGCTTCATTTTAGCATATGCTAGAAAATTCTAATTAATTATCTCTTTATGCAATATCACATGAGAAAGTTAAGTGATTCAATATGCTAGGTCCCCATTGAACTCAAGTTACTGCATTATATAGTGTCTTTTTTCACATTATTTTGGTGCTCATGGAGATCTATAATTTGTCAGTTTTGTATCTGGATATACCTTTGGATAAATGACAGCAACATAATCGAGTTAATTGGAAAGATCTTTATAGCAGGTAATGCAATCTCTGCTTTCCATCATTGATTTTTAGTTTAGTCACATAATTGTAATTAAGTTTACACTTATGTAATTTCAGCGGTATCCTTTGTAGCTGCATTGGGCTTCTTGCTTTATGGGGGCAGGTAATAGTAAGCTTCTGTTTGCAAGGATATAGGATATCTTGACCCTGTTCACTGGCATTCTCCTTTTTCTTTTCCCTAGGCTGTTTCTCATGCTAAGGCGGTTCCCAATTGAATCAAAAGGGAGGAGAAAGAAACTTCATGAGGTACTTCTTTCGAACAATGATTTAACAGATGTAAGAAATATTGAACATATAACAGTGAGAATAAGCATGCTATCCAGCATTTAAAGGTTTAGAATTTAGATAGCTTCCTGTTACTTCCATTCAAACTGTGAAACCCAAGTTTCATTAAAGAACGAGACATGTACTGCACATGCAATACTCCTAGTCAATTGCTTCAGAAACCAGCTGAAAGATATTTTACTTTCCAAAGCCATGTGTTTTTAGTGTTTAGCAGAACAGCCAAAAAAAAAAAAAGAAATCTAGCAGATATAGTTGTTTCCTGAAACAATGTCTGGTAGCTTTAGAATTTGTTGAAAATAATAATAAATTTTCTTTTGCTTTTTCTTACCTAATAAATCTATCTTTCTGCAAAAGATTGTGAATTTTGTAAACATATACTAAGCTTGTACGTTTAGACTTCCCCTATAATTTTTTTAGGTAAATTCATGGCAGGCCTACACCTCATAAAAAATATGATAAATTAATAAGAATGAGGCCTTCCCTAATAATCTATCTTTCTGCAAAAGATTGTTAATTTTGTAAACATATACTAAGCTTGTCTGTTTAGATCAAGGTTTGCAATACCGAATGATATCGTCTGTACCGGGTGGTATGTACTGGTCCGTCAGCAGACCGGTACACGGACCGCCCGCTACCGAGCGATAGCGTCGACGGCGATCGAGGGAGAAGAAAGAGGGAGTCGACGGTGACCGAGGGAGAAGAAAGAGGGAGAAGGTGAAAGAAGAGGCAGAAGGGGAAGAACGAAATAAGAAAAAAAAAAAGAAAAAAAGAGAACTTGAGATCGACGCTGCTATCCTCGTTTGTGGCGACTTCTCACCCGCGCGCAGGGAGAAGAGTATCGGCGTCGCGGGCGAAGAGAGGCGACGCCTCAGCGAAATTTCTTTTTTTTTTCTACGATGTCGCCCGAGAAGAGATACGACGTTGCAAATTTTTTCTTTTTTTCTCTGCGACAACACCTGAGAAGAGAGGTATATCGAGCGGTTTACCTCTTTTATATATATATATATCGAAATATATCGCTTGATATATAGTACCGTACCGTACCAAACATGTCTCGAAATTCTAGTACAGTACGAAATTTCAATCCTTGGTTTAGACTTTCCCTGTAATTTTTTTAGGTAAATTCAAGGCAGGCCTACACCTTATAAAAAATATGATAAATTAATAAGAAAGAGGCCTTTGCCCAACCAACATTCCAAAAGACCTAGTCCAAACCTTTACCCAAGTCATGAAGATGCAAGAGTAGACTTGTCCTCTTTTTGTTTATGGTCTATAATTTTTAGTATTTTTATCAGCCAATAACCACTTCGAAGCATTTCTGGATCAACAGCTTATAGTAGTTAATATACCAATGCAAAGGGGAACACTACAGTTTATGGTGTACATGTGAAACCACCATACCACAGTACTTACTGGCATACAATGTGTCGATTCACTGATGCATATCGAACCCTAACCTGTTTGACCAGCAATTGGCATGGGTCTGGTACCCAAATTTGCTATCTTTGATACAAAGTACCCTACGTCAGCCTTTATCAGGATGGCTGTTCCTCAGATTTGTTGAGATTCCTGGAAGAGAGATATGTAGTGCAGTCATGTGTAGATACAAATATAATTTCTGTAGGTGAGTGGATGGCCCATGTGGGTTATTGTGGTACAGCTTTTGTTTATATATAATTGTTCCTTTCACTTATTTGTAACCTACTATTAATAATTAGTGAAAGGTCACCCTTTGTGAATTCAGATCGCTTGGTAGCACCTTAACATCAGCAATTAGAATCAGCATTATCAATTGCAATTTATTTAAGATTGTTTTATGCTATAAAGCTTTTAAAGAAGGTAATGCCGTTTCAGATAAATAATAATAATCAGGTATTTGGAATGTGATGCAGGTTGGATCTGTCACAGCTATATGCTTCACCTGCTTTCTTGTACGATGCTTTGTGGTGAGTAGATATCTTGAATAATACTTGTGCATTGTTGTTCATGAAGTTTCAGTATACCGTTCAATATAATTCTGCTGACACCTTAGTAAAACAATTGCAAGATGGTTTGCATAAAGCTGCATCTGAATTTTTCGTACCAACGAGTGCTTTAAAGACATGCCGTTCTTTCCGAAGACTGTTCTCCAGTCTTTTTTTTTTTTTTTCATTTTAGGTCATCCATATTCTGTTTCAGTTGTGCTATTAGAACTTCACAATTTGTCAAGTTAACTATATGATCGAACAGCTAGTTAGTATGCCTTGGGAATGGATATCAAATGCTATGCTTAATCATCTTGAGTTTGAATCTAACTAAGGTGGTGAGCACATAGATAGTGAGGTCAAAAAGAGACCCAGAGAAAAATGATGACACTAGATTACTGGTAGGCTACATCAAAGTAGAGCCTGATGGAAAGTGAACCAATGCAACTTTCCTACATCTGGAATTTGAACTTTTCTATCGTTTGTACCCTTACAAGACTTTTTTTCATTTTAAATTTCATTTACAGCTTTAATATCATTGTAGGGTTTATTCTGTAAGCTTCGTTTGTAGTTAGAGATTGTTCATTGTGCCGATATCTTTGCAAGTTGATCCCTTTAAGCTGTTTATTAAACCAGAGTATAGCACTAATGCTTCCAAGAAGCGCAATTCATAAACTCATGCTTGTGTACATGTTTTTTCTCCTTTATTGTAGGTTGGGTTATCTGCATTTGATGCAAATGCATCTCTTGAGGTTTTGGATCATCCCATTTTGGATCTCATATTTTACTTGGTATGTTTGATCTGTTGGTTCCATAAAACAGCTTGTTTATCGCAACCAACCATCTAATACTGTGATTGTTGCTTTGACAGATGACCGAGATACTCCCCTCAGCACTCGTTCTTTACATACTCCGAAAGCTTCCCCCAAAGCGAGTATCAGCACAATACCACCCTATCCGGTAGCAGGGATCAAAGTAGCACTATGAGCTTGTCGTTGGGACGATTGAACTCAAATTCTGTTCCAACATTGTGGCATTTCGAATACCTGAAAAGTTAGGTCGGATGGATAAGAGGCTCAAAGCTATCATTTTGCGTGCGTACTCCGTGGTTATAGTTTTCCAAGTTGTAGGAACTGACCGGTGACCCTCGTTATGAATGATGATGTTCTCGGAAATTAGCTTTACATTTGCAGAACTTCCTACAGACAAATAAGTAAATTTGAGGTGTGGAGTTGTTAGGATCGAGTGATGAAGAAGAAATATTTGATCTCATTACCTGGTCTCTCGGGTGGAATTTGGGGATATTTGGACAGTGATCTGTGATACCAGATTCGTGTATGTGATTGTTCGAGGATTCGAGTTGTTAGAAACTGAGTGTTGCAGGAAAAACGCTATAAAATTTCATTACCTGGCTATAATGTCGTGGATGCTAATGAATTTGTGATGCCAAGGTAATCTAGTTTAGTGTAGGTTTTTTGCAGGCACTTAGCATCTTTGGATTTAATGGATATGTACTGTAGATGGGTGTAAACAAGGCATGATATGACAAAGTCTTAATTAACATACTAGAATAAAAACAGTTGAATTAAATAGAAGCATTATCGCAGCACCACAAAACATAAAAAAAAAAAAAAAAAACAGGGCCAAGTATACTTCAACCACTACGTACAATCTTGCAAGTTCACACAGCATCATTAAGAGGGAAGGATAATAGAAACTAAGGACTAGACATGACCAAGACTGGTGGTAAACTGGGTGAAGACCCTTCTTTTCCAGCATAAGCACGGCTAAAGCTTCATTTTCAGGGAACATTAGTACCGCATATGCACCACTCAGGTCTGCGAATCACTGCAACAATTTTAACAAATCATTTAGACTATCGGCACAGAACGACGACAGATCCAAGAATAAAAATAAGATCAACATGTGTACTTCATCCAATATGATGAGTGGGTGGATAAGTGTGGATCAGCAAGATTCAAAATATGATGAACCTAACTTGGTTAGCAATAGCAGAAATTTGCCTTAAATAATTAACTATAATCTAATCATTCATTTCCATTTAGACTGAATCATATATTACCTTTCTTATATTAATTCAACCACACACAACGGCGTATCACATGTAAACCACAGCTTATTGCTATAACATTCATTGTCCACAACTCCTAGAGGAACTCGTTTTACATGGGATATATGTAGCCTAAAAATACTCCACATTTTTCATTTTACTAACAAAAAAAACTAAAAGTAACTACTCAGAATTCGTGATCTCAATGAAAACGAACTATACAATGAATTAAATTAAAAAAGACAGGCAGTCCAATTGATCAATCTTTCGAAGACTTTCTTTAAAAAAATGAAGAGAAGAGATGAAATTGTCGAGAATGTCACACTAAAGCACAACCGGTGAAAATTGATGCAAGGATCGCAAGTGACTGAATGTGGTTGCATACAACAAAATCTTGAGAATAAATTAACATGCGGCCGTCAAATCAGGCAAATCCCAGCTCCAATACCAGTTAACATAATACAAAAGCAATAAATTAAAGATTATGCAAACTCCTGCTCTGATATCACCTAATGCATGACGAAAGACGGAACAGGACAGCACACAGAAAACCTTATAGATAAAATGACACCCATTAAAGGAATTAAAGAGTGGATCTTCTTCATTAAAAGGTATGCAAATGGAAGCCAGTATGACAACAATTGATCAGAAGTGTTCGCATTGCATCAGGGTGCAGGTCATCTGTAAAATGTCATCAAAGTGAGCAAAGTGAGGAAGGAGAGGGGTGGGGAAGGTTGAGAGGGTCAGGGGGAGAGATGAACTGATGAAGTGACTAATCATGTGAAGAAAAATTGGAAGAAAACAATATGCCAGGAAAACCTTACTATAATGATAGATCCAGTGAGATTTAGTGTCTGAAAATCTAAACAGAAACCAGTAGAAGATAACCAGTCAAAACAGACCTAAACATATATATCGTTTAATTTTTTTATCCATACCATAACAACATAAAACCAAACCAAATACTTCCAATATATAAAAGGAATCAGACCAAACCGCAATAACTGAATCAGACTTCGGTGCAGTTTGAATTTATGTTTTCTCAGACTGTCTCTACAATCAGTTTGAGTTTGAGTTTATCTCAGCAAATACTGTTCCCATAACAGGTTATTCAATATTCAAATGGAAAGATCAAGCTCCACTAGGCAGGCACTTCAGCATAAAGATTGCCACAACAGAAAGTCGAGCTTATGCAACTTGATTTAGATGGACAAGGAACAATAAGCAAGCATAGTCCTAGAAGTTGGCAAGAATATTATGTAAAAACCTAAAGGGGAAGAAACTATCCCCAACGTCTGCCTGAAGCTAACAAGCAAGCTCAATGATATATTATATCAGAGTTCATTGCCCAAACTACCATCTAGTTACTGCATAATACACAGATCTTACATCAACCAATTAGATGCACTGGAACTGTTCCTACTTTTTAATAAATCATAAACAGTAGCACTTCATATTAAATTAGCATCACCAACAGCACTTACCTGAGGTGGTGGGTGTTGTGGCGGCGGCGGCTGCTGCTGCTGCTGATAGTTCCCGTATCCAGTATATGCTGCATAAGCATACATATTAGGATCTTGTGGAGGCGTGTATCCATATGTATTGTAATTTTGGGCATATCCATAGTAGCTCCCATTCCACTGGTTGGGATCTTGCTGAGGCTGATGACCAAAGAAAGAGAGTGAAAATGTTTCGTGACTCTTTACCTCTTTAAAACATCTAAAACAAACTCTCTGCTAAGAAGGTAAACATGTTCAACCTGTTTATTTGCAGGACTGCGACCCCATGAAAGTCGGATGTTTTGTCCACCCAACGGGGTCCCATTTAGCATCCTCAAAGCCTCCTCAGCATTGGCCCTGAGAAGATCAAACTAATTGATATAAAAGAAAAGAGTTCACAATAACTTTAGAGTACACCATTTGACAGGGGAATTTGGAATACAAACCTGCTAGCAAATTGCACAAACCCACAACGCTTGCCCACAGGTATTTTTACATAAACTATTTCTCCATATGTGCTAAAAACTTGCCGCAAATGATCATCTGTAACATTTGTATCCAGCCCACCTACAAATATCTGGCATCCACATAGTATATATTTCAGAAACATCGTACCACACTGCTCACATATAAGAAGCTAAACAAAATACGCACAGTGGTATTATTTGGATCATTCTCAGACTCAGCACCTTGTGCATTCTGATAGGAAGCTGCAAACAACAATATAGGTAACTCGTGAATTGAATTTAGTCTTAAAACCATTTATTGGTAAAGAGCAAATATTCAAGAAAAAAGATAAAGTTAAGCTATCTAAGACAATCTACAATTTCATAATAAAAATGCCACAGGCAATTTTTTCAATTTACGAAGTCGCATATTTGCAAAGGTATCTTAATATAAAGTATAAACTCATACAAATTGGTCAGACTAGAAAAAAACTCGTGCACCTTTTCAAAAGAAGTACAAAGGACCTAATTCAAGATAACATACCTGTTGAAATGCAGTAACAGTCCACCCAATAATGAAATAGTGAAATTTTTATTTAATAATTGTGTACAAATTAAAGAGGTTATAGTTTTCAGTTTTTGTGGTGATACTATAACAGAAACTAGAAATACATTTTACTTGTGCTATTGTAAGGGAGAAAAAAGTATACATGAGAAATTATTTTAAGCAAATGACCAATTGCTTCGGAAAATAATACATCAAATAGTCTCAATCAACACCAAATTACTTCTACAACATACAAAGAGAAAGCCAATAGGATCCATAACCTTTTATTTTGTCAAAAACTTCGCAATCTAACAATGGGATCCATGTTTTCACTAGTATCCTTGATAAAGTTCTCTTCAAAAATATAAATCAAAACTTCAAGGCTTGGTTGTTGTCACAAGTTCACAGGAAGATTTCAAAAAGACTAACAGGTGTATGGTTGAGAGGCAAAATCTCTACTCCATTAGTAAAATGACTACCAAATTGGTTTAATGCCTTGATCAAGCAAAGTATGATTCTTGCTCTATCAACTTCCACACCAACTTCAAAATACGAATGTTGGATCCCCTAAGCATGATATAAAGGAAAAAAGAAAGATAACACATAAGGAATATGATGAGACATAACTTATGATACTTGAGATGGTTTGTCATAAAGCAGAGTAAGTTTAGTTAAGAGAAATGGCACAATTTAAGTAATAAGGCAATTGACGCAAGGAATAAAAATAAAACAGCAAATACATAGAAGAATAGTTGATAGTATTCAATATTTCTCACTGAAAGTATTAAATGCTTTAGTTGCCAACAAATGTTATCAACTGAAAGGAAGCTGCTACAACACTCTACATACTTCGATAGCATGTGAAATATCCAACATTGTATCTCGAAATGTCAGCAATGTCGAATTGAGAATATATTCTGTAGAACCCATCAGATTCAAATTACTCACCAACTGAAGCTGGTATTAGAAGCGTCCATGCAAATAATGGCTTAAGACAGGAATTGATATTTTAAAAAAGAAACAGTAGCATTATTAAGAACTAGAGTTATCTAACCCAGAAACAACTAAGGAGGCCACATCAAGGGATATGAATAAAACTAACCAAAGGGAACTGCAATTTCTTCCCACAACAAGGGATATGAATACAAATAAAAAAGAATCTGAAGATAGTGACCAGGTTCATGTATGATTCTGCAAAAGAATAAAGAACAAAATAAAAAAGTTTGATCCACTTATAACAGCAATTCTTTGCACGCTCCAACCCAATATACTCGAGGAGAAGTGAAAACTAAAGGCTATATAAATTGATTGACTGGTGCCAAAAGCAAAAGCTGAAGGAATTATTCTCAAAAGCAAGTAGGAAATTGAAAGTGATCAAAGGTAGCTTGCACAAATTAAGTAAAGAACAAAACAAAATGTAGCATAAAACGCCACAAAGAGGACAAAGAACCAAATTATTACATAATCAAAACACTGACCTACCGGGGCCACCACTACAGGAGATATGCATCTCAGCGGAAGTCAAGTCCAAGCCCTAAATGAAGATAGCATGGCATCCTGCTTCGAGACAACATGAGTTTCTATAAGTGTTCTTCACTAGAAACTATGTTTAAATGAGCCCAATTTCACAAAGGAAAGTGCTGGAAGGAAATGACTTTGTACATCAATCGAAGCAATGCCGCTTATCTTCAAGAGAACGATGGGGAAATAAAAATACTAATAATAATATTTAGCTGATTCCGCTACCACACTATGCATTCATCTGATGCAATTAAAAATATAATATCAAACTATGCAATCAATTAGTCAAGTGGCAACATAGACTATAGGGTTCCCTGCAGAATATGAAAAAATAAGTATACTATTAAAAGTACAAGAAATGATACATAGCCACATACCATTTGTGGGATACTGCTGTTGGGTACCCAAAGTGTTCTTATTAGCAGCTGGACCAATCCGCATCGGTCTTGTTGAACAGTAAATTCCATTCATCTCAGTCATTGCTCTTGTTTGTTCACTTAAATCACCAAACTTAACGAAACCATAACCTTTAGATCGCCCAGTCAGTCGATCAGTGACAACTTTGGCACCCTTTACCGATGCGTAGCGGGTCATGAATGTCTCTTGCAGCAAATAATCAGTGACGTCGGCACCCAAGTCCCCAACAAAAATTGTATAGTCGGCACCATCACCACGTCTCTCACCAGCTCCACATGATGCCCAATTCAGTCTGAAAGCCTGTTCAGTGTTAGGCATCACTTGACCATTATAAGTTTGAAGAATTCGATCTGCAGCCGCCCGTGATACAAACTCAATAAAACCATAACCCTCTGACTGCCCGGTCTGCTTATTGCGGATAACTTTAACTGAAACCATCTGCATCATTACTTGTATGAATCAGAAAACAGCCACTAAGCTGATCCTAAGAGTGAATATATATAAACGAGAATCAGATTAGGAGGCATGTCCAATTGAGAAACTAAACATAATAAAAACTGGAGATTTGAAAGACAAAAAGAATATAACTGTATATACTTTCAGACCATGATATATCAAATTCCATGGCACAACTCAAACCAAAACAATCCACTAATTGTATACATCATTTCACACTAAAGTTCTATAAACATCAAAAGGTACAAGAAATCAGACCATCAAGGAGCATAAGCCACAAAATCATAGAAATAATGAACTACGACAGAGAGAGAGAGAGAGAGAGAGCACCTCTCCGGTATGAACAAAGCAGCTGTAGAGATAGCTCTCTTCCATCCAGTACGGTAAGTCTCCAATCCAAAGCGTGCGAATCTCATCAGCGGACGCCGGCTGTGGCGCCATGGCCGGGACGGGCGCCGGCGCCTGATACTGCATTTGGGGAGGTGGCACCGGCGCAGGGGCCTGGTATTGCGGCTGGGACTGCTGCGGCACGGGCTGGGGAAGCGGAGGCGGCACCTGGGTGGGCTGCTGGTTCCACATCGGCGGCGCCGGGGGTGCCTGGTAGTACTGCGGCTGCAGTGTCGGCTGCATCACGGTCCACTGCTGCGGTGGCGGCTGCTGGTCCATCGGGGACGGAGCCATCGGAGGGGGCTGCACCATCCCGCCGGCCGGCTGCATCATCTTGGAACCAGAAAAAGAAACAAGATCTGGAAACCCCAACGTCGAAATAGGACGATACAATGGCAGATAGCGATCCAAGACGACCAGAGCACTCGAGATCTGAGATCTGAACAAGTCTTACCACTATAAGCTTTGGAGGCGGCGGAAGGAAAGGAGCGATGAGGTCGGAGAAAACCCTAACCCTAAAAATAAAAACAGACCGACCAAATATGGAGGACTCGAGAAAAAGATCGGAGTATATACATTATTAAAACAAATAGGAAATATATTTCCCGCACTTTCTCTCACCTGCCCAGAATCCTACCGGATCCACGGGAGCAGACAGTTAGTTGTCTTGGCTCGACGTGGGACCCTTACAGAAAGCCATAGACTCACTCCTCTAATCACGAGGCCCGTATAGTAAGGGTAAGACGGGCGGCGGGCCGCACAGCGTTGGATCCGACGAGTGATCTTGGCTGGGCCTTCTGTGCGCGAAAATTGATGCTCTCGGGGGCCTTCATAAATTAAAGCAGACCAATATTATTTATTGCATTCTAAAGACACATAAAATAATCAATATATACATAACATTTGCTAAGATTAAGAATAGAAAATGCCTCATGACTCAATAAGTAAAAGAAAAAACTCGGCTCACCTCATAATTCTGCTGAACTTATTATTAATGTTGTAACATTAATCTCCAGAAAATGTTAATTACTATCAAATATGTCATTTTTAACTCAAAAAACAAAAACAGAGATAAGACGCATGGCCCTTTTTATGTTTGAATTTTAAGAAAACGTTTTTAGTTATGGCAACAAAAAAAAAAAAAAAAAAAAATACTTTTCGCTGTTCTCTTTTTTGTCTTGGAAATGCCCAAATGGGATATTAAAGCTTCTTCCTCTGAACCTCCTCAAACCCCCGACGCCCTTCTATTCTTTGTACCCCCAAACCCCTCCACACATCCCCCAGAATGCTCTATGCTCCCTTCCTCACTCCGTTTCCTTGCAAAGATCCCATCTTTAATCATCCAAATCAGAGGGTTTGGTTCTCCGTCCTCTTTCAGGAAGCCTCATCCCCTTCCACCTCCTCCAATCCTCGATTCCGAAGCCGTCTTGGAAGCAGTATGCATCAATTTGAGGCGCCGCGACTGGAATTTCCTGCAGCAGTTCTCTTCTTACCTCGTCGGGCCGTTAGTCCGCCGAGTTATCCTTCGTTGTCGGTCTTCGCCTCGATTATCCCTAGATTTCTTCAACTGGGCATTGGAGCAACAGCGGAACAACGAGCGCTCTTCTCTTGATTTAGATACGTATTCTGTCCTGATTCATGTCTTGGTGTCTGCGAGGATGTTTGACGAAGCTTTGTGCATCATGAGACAATTGATGCAAGAAAGGCGTGTCGCTGCGCTGGAGCTATTGGATGCTCTCGCTCGAAGTCGTAAGAGGTACGGCGGGAGCCGTGATGTCTATGATGCCATGGTCCGGTGTTGTACTCAGATTGGCGCTACCAAAGATGCTTGTTTGGTGATGGAGACGCTGCGAGCAAGAGGTGTTTGGGTGTCTGTTCATGCCTGCAATAACTTGTTGAACCATCTTCTTATGTCGAGTCAAGATGGCGGAGTTGCGTTCTGGGAGATGTACAAGGAAATGCTGGCACTGGGGTATGTTGAAAACGTGAACACCTTCAATTTGGTTATCTATGGCTTATGTAGGGAATGTAAGATTAGTGAAGCTTTCTCGGTGTTTTACCGAATGCTAAAAGGAGGGGTTTTTCCTAATATTGTTACCTTCAATATGCTCATCGATGGGTGTTGCAGAAATGGTGAGCTCAGTTTGGCTTACGAACTTTTCAAGAAGATTAAGCTTGTGTCAGGGAATAATACTGAACCTAATGCTGTAACTTTTAATTGCCTCATTAATGATCTCTGTAAGGCAGGGAGGGCAGAGGATGGTGAGCATGTGGTTAAGAAAGACATGCTAAAAAAGGGATTCCTACCTAACCTGAGAACATATGGGACTCTGATTGATGGCTATGCAAGAGAAGGGAAGATGGAAGAAGCTCTCAGGTTATTTATCGAGATGTTGGATGATGGCATGGTGCCTAATGTTGTTGTGTATAATTCGCTCCTGAATTGGCTCTTAAAGCAGGGTCACATCGAGGAGGCTTGTTTCTTATTGTCGGACATGAGGAAGGTGCATGCTTCTCATGATCATTACACATACGCAATTTTGGTCGATGGCTACTGCAGGAATGGATGCATGCAAGAGGCTTTTGGATACTATAACCAGTGTAGAGAAGAGAAATTGGTGAAGGATGTGGTTCCCTACAATAGCCTTATCAATCATCTCTATAAGCAAGGGAGGGTCTGTGAAGTGAATCAGCTTCTGGGAAGGATGTTTGTTAGCTGTCTGGCACCTGATGTGGTTACTTATAGTACTTTAATTGATCGATTCTTCAAAGATGGAAAGATAGATGATGCTCTGAAGGTATATGATGAAATGATAGAGGTGGGGCAAAGGCCTAATCTAATTACATACAATTCGATCATTCATGGTTTCTGTCAAGTGGAATATGTAGATATGGCACGATTAGCCATAGAGGAACTGAGAAGTTCAGGTATGCTGCTCGATGTAATCACATATAACACTGTGGTCAATGGATATCTTAGGAGTCAGAGGGATGAAGAGGCATTAGATTTATGCAAAGACATGCAAAAGCTAGGCATAGCTGTTAATGGAGTCACTTGCAACATATTTATGAATTACCTCTGCAAATTTGGATACTTTGAACAGGCAAAAGGGCTCTTGAGGATTATGCTGGATGGAGGCTTGAGTCCAGATCAAATAACATATACGACGATCATTACTGCACTCAGTAAAAGTTCCCAAGCGAATGAAATTATTGAGTTACATGATAATATGGTGCTTAGAGAAGTACCCCCCGATGAGTATACTTACAACACCATTGTTAGCTGCCTCATTCAAGGAAAGGCACATTCCAAATCATGATGATTAGTGATTTTAGAAATGTATACTGTCGATTAGTCTGACCATTTCTTGATGTCTAAAGAAATATGCTATTGGATTTTCTTTTAAACCACTTGTTGGATACAGTTCTTTATGATCATATCTAATGAAGCCTAGGTTTCTTGTTCTCAAACTGCAGATGGTTGTTGTAAAGGTAGCTTTCATATCTTTGTTGTGATCTGACCTTCATCAAGTAATACATTTAAAAGCTTTGCTGCTGTTTAATTCCTTGACTCATTATCAGCATATTTCTGTTGCTTCCTTGGTCGATAGAGAACACAAGTTGTTGACCTCAGCTATCATTTATTTTTTTTGTCATTTCAGGATTTCTCTCATCCAAGTTTCCAATCAAGCTTGATCGCTATGCATTACCTTATTATTTTGCAGTCTCAATATGATCAATATGCATCAACCGGTACTGATTATTCACCCATACACTCTAATTGATTATTTAAATGAGGTGCGTTCTAAAGTCGTGATCGAGTCAAATTGGTTCTCAACGTGTAACCAAAGTCTTAAATTGTGATTGGAATAAGATGAGATTAATATATTGTGCCACTGAATCATATTGAAAGAATGTAGGCGTCTTCTTTCACTGTAACCTAACGCGTGCTTGATATCGTCGCCGCCCAGAATCAAACACGTGGATTTTAACGTCGATCAAGCAACGCGGTGGAAGTCAACGGGGTGGCTCCGGCCGTCGGCTCGGGGCACCCACGCAGCACGTTTCAGGTAGGGCTTCCTTCCGTGCCACGTCGGAGCTGCCAAACACCGGAAGGTGGGTTTTCATGGATGATGGAAAGCGGGGCCCACCCCTGGAATGTCCCACGAGTCTAGTTTTGCGATATCCTGTCTGGGGCTATAGGGGGAGATCGGACGGTGGATCTCACACTAGATCCTGTGTCAAGCGAACGACGGCTTCATCGGTCCATTTCTTTCAATGCCTAACTTTCCTTAACCGGATTGGTTTCGAGCACATGGTACGAGCAGGTCTCAAGAATGACGGGGAGGGAGATCTTGCAGAAGATGAAGGTGCGTTGACTTCCGTCACAGATTGCCTGAATTGCTTTCTTTTTTTATTCCGTGTTGGAATCTGTTTAGTTCTTCCAAAACTAGAATGGGAGAATGTCGATTCATGAAAAGAATTCTCTTTTGCGTGGTCTATTATTGCTCTTCCTGTTGTGCATCTTGAGTAATGTTCTTGCCCTGATTAGGATCAGACTTGCCATACGATCTGCTCTTTCAATGCTTGCAATTTCTGTTTTGATTATGAGTCTAAACTCAATAGGCGGTGGGAATTTTTAGTCCTGTAAGCAGTGTTTCAATATCTTGTAAAGTCTTAATCTCATGAATGCTACTCTTCAGTTGCTTGTAGTAAGTCCCAAGAGAGCTACAAGATTGCTTGTAGTAAAGTCTTAATCTCATGAAAGGGATTTCTCTCACCATGTTAGCATTCTGTGCTTTTTTTTTTTTTGACAATCATATGGCCTCTTTGATAGAATCAATTTCTGGTACAAGCCAAAAGCTCAATGTCTTGTTATTAAAAAAGAGACGGACTACCATAAATTGGTGTAAATAGTTATCCAGAGAGCTCTCTGCGTAGTATATGCCTTCTACTAGCATGTCCAAAATTGTCGAAAACAACTTTTTACCATGATCAAGTGTGGGCAAGTCCTTGTTGTGATGCTTCAGTTTGATTTTCATACTTCATAAACTATCTTCTTGTTTTTCTTTGTTTGACAAATTGTTGTTTCGTTTTAGCATTTTGAAGCCATTTATCATGTGGTTTCCAAGTATGATTTAATTGGATGTCCTGATATTCATGCAGGTTAAAGCGGGATTTGCTTCATCATCAGAAACTGGAAAGGGCAAGACCAAGGTCTCTGGCAGATGTATTCGACATGGCTATCACTTGATGAAAGGGAAATCATATCATCCAATGGAGGACTATTTGGTGGCAGAATATAAGAAAGTTAATAACTATGAATTGGGCTTATTTGCAATTTTTGATGGCCACTTGGGCCATGCTGTTGCTGATTATCTGCGATCTCATCTATTCGAGAACATATTGAGAGAGGTAAGGGCATTGCAGATTGCATATTTACTTTATAACATATGTAGATCATTAAACTATGGAATTTCAAATAGTAGTTGCAGGAATGAATATAAACTTCCCTAACCTTTCCATGCAGCCTGAATTTTGGAGTGACATAGAAAGTGCAATAAGGAAAGCATACGAGAGAACTGACAGTAAAATATTGGAAAAACAAGCTGAGTTGGGAAGAGGAGGTTCTACCGCAGTTACAGCTATACTAATTGATGGTGTGAAACTTGTGGTAGCTAACATTGGAGATTCTCGAGCAGTGATTTCCAAGAGTGGTGTAGCCATACAACTTTCTGTTGATCATGAACCAAGCAAAGAGCGACAGTTGATCGAGGGAAAGGGTGGTTTTGTGTCAAACATTCCTGGTAATCAATGATTTCCGGTTTTGGTATTTTCCATATTTGGACTTCACAATTTACTTAGAATCTCTGAATAACACTTTTGAGCAAGTTATACCTGAATTTTTATTCAATTTTGGCAAGTTGCAAACTTTGAGGTTTTGGCTTGTACCTGAATTCCTCAAAATTTATTGTACCCGAATTGCAAATTTGTGTTCTTGGATAGCATAAGTTTTAGGTCAGAGATAAATTGTGGGTAACCATTTGATTTGATACAAGTATGCCTAAAGGAGACCCATAAATTCATTAATCAGATTGGGTGAGTCAACTAGGACTAGTTGTGTGAGAAGAGTTTGAGGAAAACTTAAGAAACTTCATTAAAACAATAAAAACGGGTCATAATAGCTCTTAGTTTTGACTATTGATATTGCTCTCAACAAGGCTCAATAGATTTTAAAAAAAAACTGTAGCACGTCTCAAATAATTAGGACATGTGGCTTAAGGACAATCAACAACAAAAATCTGTAATGTCTCAACTACATACGGTTGACCAAAACTTTGTATACGGTAACATCTCTAGTTAAATCAAGATTATTCAAATCTGACTTGAGGACAATATAGTTTATCTAAAACCAAATGGCATTTCGTAAATGAAGTAAAAACGATGAAGATTTCTAAATTACAATCAGATAACCCATAAGAACCATACTATACTCTTAATTTTAGTGTTGCTAATAGCATGTGTGCCACACAGCATCTCCGATAGATTGTCTTTCTTAGGCTGAAGAAATATGAACTCAGAATTAGATCATTTGTTATGTATTAGTATAGATAAATATCATGCTAAATCTTCACCATGATACATAAGCCCATTTATGGCGTTCATTGATAAAACTTATGCAGTTGGCCTTATGTGAGATAACTTTTACACACACGATGCACATTAAGAGAACAAATGAGTATAATTAATTAGCAATTTTTAGAGTTGTCATGAGAAAATAAGATTATTTACACAAGTGTAATATCTTTGTATCGATTGTATTCACATGCTTTAATCTGATATTCTCATGGTGGCAAAAGATTCATATGGTCAACCCTATATAGCATGTGAATACAATTGATACGAAGATATTACACTTTCCCTTGTTTAAAGATGAGGACAATAAACTTGTTATCTAGAGTATGGAATAAAGTAGCATATCGTGATCTTTGAACACATCTACAAGATCCTGCATCTTTCCATTGTAATGCTTGCTGAGTGTTGACTAAATTTATTTGATATGGCTACTCATATGCAAGATAATCTTTATTTTCTGTAAATATATTTGTATGTCATGGACACACTTTATACTTAACTAAATTTAGTAAATATGGCTACTCATGCATGATAATCTTTATTTCTGTAAATAGAATTGTGTATTTGTATGTCATGGGCACACTTTATACTTTACCAGGCCAAACAATATAGTTATAATTGTTAGTGATCAAAATGCACACTAGATATATAAATTTGATGCTTTTAATCATGTCTAATCACTTTGATTTTCATCATCAATTATTCCTTTCTGGATCAAATTTTGTGATTACCACATTAGAAGCTCCAAGCAGCCATAAACTTGCTGTCAACTCTTGAGGAATTAGAGTCAGATTGAGGATGAGGGCAATATAACAAAAAATTGGACTACCTAAAAGAATGGTGTTGCGTTTTGTCTAGGAAGCCCAACTTTGGTATTTGTGGTTTAAGCTCTAGGAACAATACAATCCCACATTCTGAATTCCTATTTGTGTTTTTTTCATACTTATTCCCAAGCATTGCAAAGTTAACTTTGTGTTTGCATGGTGGTTTCACCAAGCAGTCCACTGGCTAAGTAGAGGTTCGAGTGGTGCCAACAACACTTAAATCCTTGCTCAAAGCATAATATGGAATTAATATGTCAGTGATTCTTCATAGAACACTAGCTTTGATCTTCCTGCATCACCATGAATTTACAGGGATGATATGTTGCTAGAGACGAGGGTTTAAATCTTGGCTCATTACCGGTTTCAACAACCTGTCAGACCAGCATGGTAGTTGTTATGGGTGTTATCACCAAAAAAAAAAGTACCATAACGGTGTTTGGTTGGACTAGTAAATGCTAGTAGGTGCCTACTGGTCTTAATGCTATTTGAAACATTGACTAGAACATAGAGTTTGGCTGTTGTGCCCACTTAGGATCATCTTATCATTCATATCATAAGAATCATTATGTATAGCTATATGCACATTTCATTGGTCGATTGGTATACAAGTTATACATTGTAAACAATTGTCTACACTTTTGGAATTTGATAGTTTAATATTAACTAGGAGCCTTGAAGAATTAATGAAAAATTAAAATCAAGTCTGTTGTTTCAGGCGATGTGCCGCGTGTGGATGGACGGCTGGCTGTGGCGAGGGCGTTTGGAGATCGGAGCTTGAAGGCACACCTCAGTTCTGAGCCAGACGTAGCCGATGAAATCATTGACGAGGATGCAGAGTTTCTAATCCTTGCAAGTGATGGATTATGGAAGGTAAACTCATTTAATTGTTGATTTGTGGGCTTTTCTTGCACTGGGTGCAGTGTCTGTTTCAAAAACTGCATCTATACAGTTGATTCATAAATTTCAAGTTACTCATAACACGTCTCAACATCTAAATGTGTTGTGAGACGATGTTACACATAGTACACAGAGAAAAGAGATGTGATCATACTAATGGTCTTAACTATGATTCTTCGTTCATTCTGGACTAGCACTTACCGGATGGTGTGAACTGGTCCGATGACTTGTTGGGTTGACGGTACGGACCATAGCACATGCATCTCAATATCATGTATTTTCAAATCTTAATAAAGCTTTTGTGGTACTTGTCAGCATACCCTGTCGATATTTGATCACAAGTTTGATATCTGAAACCGCAAATTATGGTGTTTTTGTTCCGTTTCCTTTTTTTTTTTTTTCTTGAGAATGTTCTATCTCTGTGTCTGACCAGGTAATGTCTAACCAAGAGGCAGTGGATTTCATAAAAGATGTAAAGGATCCTCAAACAGCTGCCAGGAATCTGACAGAGGAGGCTGTTGCAAGGAAGAGCAAAGATGACATTTCTTGTATTGTAGTTAGGTTTAACTAATGTTTCAGAACATATAAGTTTGAACATTTGGGGCAATATGGGTTTGTATGATATGGTATATGAAAATATGGAGTGCAATCTCAATAAAATTGTATTTGATCTTCCCATCTCTAATTGGCATGCACAAGTATATTCTACTCCCATTTTATGGCTGAAAACACCACTGGAATGGTGAAGAATGCTACTCCTTCTATTGCAAGTGAATAGAACCATTGCTGAAGCTTCGGTTAGTGTCTTGTTTCTATCATCCCCCTTGGAGGAATGATACGATCATGTGATGCTGAGGTATCAAAAATACGGTATCGGGTTATTGGTCATGTGACATCATGATGCTATTCACATGGCATCAACATGTCGATCATATCATCATCTTTATATCTAAAATTAAGATATATATATATATATAATATTTGACTGTCACAAAATTAATAATTGTCAATGTAACCAAGTTAATTTCAGAATTGGTCATATATTATTTTGTATCAATAGGTTCTGTACATAAAAGCGAACCTCAATACTGCGATAAAATTATTCTTTTGTGATCTAAGTGATTAAGCTTCAAGTAAGCCCCGAAAACAATCGCCCTGGAAAGGGTAAGATTATGTACATTTTTCTATTTGTGAAGCCTATTAGCTCCAAATAATTCTTCTCATGCTCTTTAAATCTACTAAACTATGACTTTAACGAAAGCTATAGTCACATGAGTTTTCTCTTTCATCTTTTGATACTTATATGCTTCGTTCGACTAACGTACTAACTCCAACAGCAAATTAATGATGTATATTTTTATGGTATTTAAAATAAAGTAAAAAAATATTTATATGAAATTATTGAGGGCGGCATTTTTACCGGTGGGCCGAGTGAGGACGGGATCCGATCGTATCGAACTGGTGAACCGTGGTCCGAGTTGATGCACGAGGTGTGAGCGAGAAGGACCAATTAGAAAGGTTCAATCATTGTACGAATGTGGACGTACTAACTGTTTCATACATACCGCGTACTCTGTACTGTATCACGTCCTTCATGTTCTCGCAAGCGGGCATCAGCTCCACCACCCCCGCCTTCGCGTATTGGAGTCGGTCATCGTCCTCCATCGTCCGTTTCCAAGCCGGTGGGCACCACCGCCCCTCTTAAACCAAACCCCCCGCCGCAATAATTGCGTCCCATCCCACGCGGGGCACATCCACCCGTGAGACGGCGCACCGCCCACCACCACCCGTCGAAACGTGTCGAAAACCCAATGGCTCTCCTTCCCCCCGGCACCGCTGTCGGTCGAATTGACCCGGTTCAACCCGGGACGCTGACCCACCCCGTGATTCCGGTTACTCGCTGCGGACCAGATCCATGCCAACTAACCGTGGGCCACGGCGGTGTCCGTACGGAAACCCCCCCGACACCTCCACGTACGATTCCTACGCACCACTCTTACGACCCAAGAAGGTAGCTCAAAGCCCGTGGTTCGGTACCTCAACAATAAGAGGATGGGTGCGTCGGCTGTGCGTCCCGTATCATCACGCCCTCCCCAGTTGACGCCGTTATGGCGGCGAAGAGGGGAAGCCGCCGCGAACGGCGTGTCCCGATCGTTCGCTGCGTGCCAAGTACACAGCCCTCGAATTACGGCATTTCCAGCGTACCAAGAAAATAAAACCCATTACGAAAAAGCATGTTGCGTTTGGTGGACCCCAATGAGAATGTGTGTAGGAGAGTCTCCGCGGGTACGTATATCAGGTGCGTCTGGAGAAAGGATAGAGTGGTCATAATTCCGACGAGGGCGGCGAGATAAGACAGTCAAAGCGCTCGTTGACTGGGACGAATCGTGCTTATAATTTCTAATCCCTGCTGTTTATTTCCCTCGAGTTGTATTTAAACCCCGCATCGCCGCAGGAGAGGGACGAGAAGAGGAGGGTTGTAAGAAAGCGCAAGGGTTTGTGATCCTTTACCATGGCGCCGAGAGCGAAGGCGGCCAACGACGTAGGTGGCGGAGAAGGGAAGGAGGAGCATTTCCGAGGAGTGAGGAAGCGGCCGTGGGGGCGTTACGCAGCGGAGATTCGTGACCCGGTCAAGAAGAGCCGCGTCTGGCTCGGGACCTTCGACACGGCGGAGGAGGCCGCGAGGGCCTACGACGCCGCCGCCCGCGAGTTCCGCGGACCCAAGGCCAAGACCAACTTCCCATTCCCGGACGCCTGCATCAGCCCCAGCCCCAGCCCCGTCGGCGTCGCCTCTGGCGGAGGGGGTTCCGGAAGCCCCAGTAGCCAGAGCAGCACCATAGAGTCCTCCGGTCCGGAGGAGGCGGCGAGGGCGGTGCCCTCGGTCGCCGTTCCGCTCCCTACCTCGCTTGATCTCGACCTCCTCTACCGTGGCGGCGGCGGATCCCGCTTTCCCTTCCAGCCATACCATCCAGCCATCCCGGCGGCGCAACCCTTGCTCTTCTTCAACGCGATCGCCAGATCCGAGACATCCCCTGTGTCCGAGGTGGCAGTGACCGGGTACCACCGCCACCTGCCGCTTTGTCCGCCGATGATCGTCGCCTGCTTCCAGCCGCCGCCGGCCGTCGTCGCCCAAAGCGACTCCGACTCTTCCTCCGTAGTCGATCCCCCCCCGGACCACCGCTCTCCTCCCCCGGCACCGGCGTCCAAGGCGTTTTTTCTCGATCTAGATCTCAACCTCCCCCCGCCCGCGGAGGTTGCCTAACCCTCATGCCTGCGACCGCCCGATCGTCGCAGGAGCTCATCGAGTCTCGCACATTCCCATCCGGTGAAAGCACGCGATGTCCAAGAAAGAGAAAACATTGTATATATATTTAACTTACTCTTTTTCCACCGAGACAGAAAAAAACTAGAGCCGTCGATCTCGGAGATCAGATTTATTTCTCGGTGTCGTCATGCCGCTTATCTTTTTCGTATTATCTAATTAATTTTCATGATAAAAATACTTGTCCGAGTGTTGGCTGGCGGCACGTCTGTGTCTCCCTCCGTTCGATTTAACAGTCGTGCGGCCGGGCGCTGTGCGGATGAGCGAATCACGAGTGACGTTGCCAGGACTAGGAACTACGCTTGCTGACGCCGGCTACGCCGTACACGTGTACGCCTCTGCCGCTTTCGCGGATGTCAGGGAGCGCAGAGAGGTTTAACGGCGGTTTGATTGACGGTGGAGGCAGGGAGCCGTCCTCGCGTGGGAATATTCTCGCGTAAGTTTCGCGCTCGTGAGGGGTGGGCCCGCGTCGGATTGCGTGGGTGGCGAGGCGGTAGCTCGGTGCGGGCCCCAGAAATATACGCAGAAGATTTTGCTATTCTTTGCTTACTGTCCCTGTTATTAGAGAGTTCGTCGTCGTTTCTGGTTAATGATTTAGGTGGGAAAAAGGGCGGTGTTGTTTGGGTAGATGTTCTTATTCGTAAATAGTGGTGCCGCAACGAGGGGATCGAGTGGTCCAACGAGGAGGGCCGGAGGTGGGAGGTGCATGATGGGGGAGGGAGGTGACGATTTGGCGGGTGGTGGTCATACGGGATCGGCTGTCCGAAAGTAGTCAGAATGCCAAGCTGATGTATGACGTGGCGGTTTGTGGACGGTGAATCTACCCTTGTTCTCTATGAGGGTCCGTGTTGCCGGCGAATAACGTGTCAAGCAGCGGGCAATTCTGTCGGCTGTGTGTGCTCCAGCTCAGACGAGTCGTAGTCATTAAGTTATGCGTCGCTGTCGGATGCGGTGGCAGGATGGCCCGCACGTCCGCAGCCGCCTCGCAGCGCCACGTTTCGCAGGTTGCCCCCTCCCGTCTGCGGATGGCCTTCAATAAATTACATACAGTTCAATTTACTGTCGGTGCACGTCGCGATGTAACACGGCACGATGGAGAGACGCGACGCACGAACGACCCGTACCCACGTGTTTTGATTGGTAGAACATGCGGGGCCCATCGTGTAGCCTCACAGGGTAAGGAACGGGGTTTTCGGTCTTTATTTCAATTGTCTGCCTATTCCTTTCTCTCTTGAAGACACGGGATTGGTCGGTCGGCGGTCGTGCGTGCGTGTGACGCGTAACGCCGTTACAGTGAAGACCTCGCAGTTCACGTGGTCCACTCGACGTTGGAAGGACGCGGACCTACGGCCGATTCCGCGTACCGTAACCGCCTTGATCCATCCAGCATGTGCCCCCACGCATCCAATCATCGTCTTCGAACGTGCACGTCGTGATCTAAGTTGGATCCTATCGCGGCACACGAGCTGTCTCCACAAAAGTAATCTACGTCCGTGGACAGCTTGCATTGGCGGTGGTGAGGGGGCGACACCTTCGATCGATCGATCAACCGCAGCACGCTACGTGTTGTTGTCGCGTTACCATGACAGCAGCAAATCGATATCAATACTAGACGGCAGGCTGGACGTGACACCACCGGCCGTTCTGCGTCCTATTTTTCGCCCAACCTGCTGTGATGCTATTTGTCCGAAAGCAAAGGCAGCGGACATATCAAATCAAACAGAGAAGTCAATGCACCGCGCGGCGGCCGCCGCTTGTTTGTATATGTCGTCAAGTGTAGGTGTTCGAGGCCACGCTTCACTGCTCACGCACGCTGCTGCTGCCGCTTCTGTTCTCTTCAAGGACACATGTTTATCAAAAAAATAAGGGTTGGGAAGAGAGAGAGAGAGAGAGCTGGATGATGATCAAGAGTTTTACGTCCAGAGAAAGGTGCTTCTGGACTATGGTTAGTCAACCCAACTAGCATAAGGTGTTAGGTGAGGTTAAGCTGCAGACTCGGTTCCACCTGTTCCATCACAAGAGAAGCCTGCCCGGCCAAAAGAGCCAGTAAAGCCACTGGTCCAGCCAAGAAAGAACCAAAGCAGAAGCCTGTAAAACCTCAAGTACAGGAGGTTGTGAACTAAGCGAAGAAATCCTCTAGCATTTTTAGCATTTGTTCGAAGTCTGTCACCTTCCGAGATATTGCTCTCCACATTTCCAGGATTGCGTCGATTCGGTTCTATCGAAATGCTGAAAACAGTGTTAAGCATTGTCTGATTACATAGATGTGGTGCGATTGCGAACCACATGTGGGAATTCTGCTCCTCGTAGATATCATGTACATTCCAAGAACAACAACAAGTGATTTAGAGGCACAAAACTCAAGAAGGGATGTTCAAAAGCAGAGAGCAGGTGAGGCTTCGTGAGCAGATCATTGCAGTTTCTGCAGGAACACATATGTTGGCCTATAAGCCTGGAGCACCGGGCATGGTACAATCCACAGCAGCTGCAATTCCAGTTCACCAGTCTCCACGTTCCTAAGCCTGAGGATGATGTCTTGCACAACCTTGCCCTCTTTCCGCACCATGGCACTCTCATCTGCCGAGCAGTTCTTCCTGTTGAGCTTCACGGTGGTGATGATGGTGTCATTTGGGATGTCAGACAAGTTCATCTTAACTGCCTCTACAAATGGATGGATGTGGATCTCTGCATCGCCCATCTTGTCACCACGGCTGAACGTGTTCTTGTCAGAAACTTTCTCACAACCAGAGAATTAATGTCATAAATCCTCTCAAATTTCGCTCTAAATTAGACTTGAATTATGCACCATTTTCCCACGAGTACATCTGCACTACTCAGGAAGGTTAATTGATTCTTAATTTTGCATTACTTCAATATATAGTTCCTTCATCACCTTTTTATGTGTGGGGGTCATGAATTCAGTTCATTGGAAGATCATATGGTTATACATGTAACGAGGAACAAAAGTGCATCGAGAGTAGAAAATTGATTTACGAGTAACAGAAGAAAATTTTCTACTTCCAAAATTTTTATAAATAAAGAAAATAATTTAAAATTTTGAGACACGATATAGAAACATGAATATTAGATACGTCTAATATATAAAAATATAAAAACATAAAAACAGAAATGTTAAAAACGTCTAGTCTCATATGCATAGGATTGTATAAGGTATTTTCAAGACAAAAACGTCGAGCTTTCAATGTGTCACAAAAAGTTACCCATAATTAATTAAACTTAAAAGGACTATTGGTTAATGTTATATCCACGTAAACCTCTACCATTTACCATATTTTTTTAACATAAGCTATCGTGTCCTTACGCAACGTTTGTTAGCAGATCTTTAATTGAAGTACTTTGAAAGCGAAGGTTTGTTCGCCAATATGTTCCCCATAGATACCGTACCCTCTCGACTTTCCATCATTTTTTACTTTGGTCCTCGCTTATATTTGTGTGTAACAATTAGATACAAAAAAAGAATGAGATCTCTTAAGCCCCATCCTCAACCTGTAGTTTCAAGAATTCACCCTAAATCAGCCCATTGTCTAGCATGCTATTCCATAATCCAAGATTGTCATGACCGAAGAAGGCCCAATACCGAGCTTCCAGCAAGAACACTGAGAGGGTGAGTCAGTGCTCAATCCACGCCTGATATGTGGCTAATTAGATCGAGGTGGGTTAACTGCTTTTCTCAGGATTACACTGGCAGTTTACTGAGTGGAAACTGGAAATGTGTGATGAGGAAGGATCCAAGCTTCTTCTTGGATGACTGACAAAACATGGCTTGCAGCTTTGTCATTAGGTTATCCACGTGTAAACACCCTTATCGAGATTATAGATATGCTCACAAAGACTGGTGTTCCTCGGTGTTGGAAGCTGCTTATGGTCGATCACGTAGTTGCGTACTACTGGTAATGTCTGCAGTGACCTTTCTTCCCTGTCTAAATTTCTACACGCACAGGAGTACAGTGGATGGAGGCCTAACCTTCTCTATTATAGTGATCATCAGAACAGTCTCAACTCGGTTGATCTGCTGCTGTCCACATCTCTATTCTAGTCGTCGGAACTATCTCCTCTATGGCTTACCAAACCTACCCGGAACTTGAGAATCCAAACTCCAGCTCAAATCTGGATCCAAAAGTTCAACCACACACCTATCCAAAAGACTTTTGTCTTACAATTCTCCCAGGCAGGAGCTTTGCGAGCCTCCTCTCACTGGTTTGGTTTCTGTTCAAGAAACAAGAAAAGCTCCAACCTTGCATCCACCTGCCTAACCTCTGTTCATTGAACGAAGGTGGAATCGGTCACCCTGAGCATTGCCACTTTTCAGAAGAGTCAACCTTGACATCAGACTGCAAGTTTCCGTGCCTTCATATCCCTTTCAATGTCCTCATGTGTGTGACTCACGAGGCATCGAGACATCAAGCCACAAATGCTGATTCCTGCCAAAGTACATAGAGAGCTCTTCACATGTGACTCGGCTAAAGTTTGGCTTCGGCCTGTCCTACTGTGTGGACGTAGTGGATGCCGGTGAGTTTGAAGACTGCCGGAAGTCAAGAATGGGGAAACAAGAACTTCCATGGTCTGCTTGCCACACTATACGTGGAGATTTCTTTGAGATTTTGTTTGATTCGGTCTTGATGAATACTAGAAAAGCCAATTACTAAGATTAAATTTCTTGTTGTTTCTCTTGGTCTGACCTCTACGGATTGTTTACTTACTGCCACACAACCAGATTCTCTATCCTCGCGGTCACGATGACTGCACCAATAGAGGTACCTCACTTGGCTAGCTCATCTTTGAATCCTGGAAGAGCAGCTATGGTGGGGTAGCACATTGACCATGGAATCATCCAGTGCTGGGACACCTAACTTCGTGTGTGAAGCCTTGTCAGATTACAAGCTCGTCAAACCCTTGAGATGTTGATTGGTTTGACAATATGGTGGGTGATTTCAGCAATTATTTCTTGCCAAAACAATCTTGTTTGCCTTGTGTCATGTAAGTCATACAATGACACCGGCATGAAGTTCCCAGTACTGTCTAAACCTGTGCATGCAGAGTCCAGTTTGGAGGTTTATTCTGCTGTGATTGATGATGCTGAAGGCTATATGTAAAGAATGCTCTGTTCACCCTTTCTCTCTCTCTCGCTCTCTCTTCTCCATCCATCATCAATCTTCATGCTGATTCAACAATATCCTATGATCAATCAACTAGTAAACAAATTGTTACGTGTTTCATTCAGCTTTTGGATCATTGCTGAGTAGTGGAGGTGAGGGTGAGAGGCAGTGGGCATAACTCTTGCTCCAATCATGGAAGGCATTCTCGCCAAGCCATCGGATGCGTCAAGGCTTTGCTCTAAACCATTTATAGATGAAACAAGAGATGGAAAACAGATCAAACACATGTTGAACAAGGCACGTAAACTTGCTTGTTATGCACACAAGGTGTTCAATCATTGAGCAAGCATGAACCACACACAGAGGTGGTAGAGAAAAAACCTTCGAAGATCCAAACAGTGGTGGTTTGCCAAATTGTAGGCTTACTAATCACAAAAGCCATGCATAAGTTTCCTTGTCCAAACTCCATAAGCCTTATATGCAGCGGGCAGTAATTGACTTGTTGCTGCATTCTTTCCCTTCCCACCTGCAAAGAAGAAATGAGAGTATATGGAAGACGGCCGTGTGTACGGTGGCTCAACCTCGATCATACTGCAACGCGGATTGGTTTGCGTGAGGAGATTATGAGCGAGGAAAAGAGGAGAAGACGACATGCAGAAGAACCACAACAAAAGACCAAGTTGCAGGGCGTTGCTTAATCTGCAAGTGAGGAGAAGGGAAGAAGACATGCACAAGAAGACAATAACACGCAGAAGAGAGAAAGTTGGAGGCTTGTTTGATGCGTTAGGATGATCGACAATAACATGGTGAATTGCTGAAAACATTGTCAGCTGTGTTCGAACCTGAAATGTTTTTGGCCCATAGATTGATCGCTGAAGTCCAACCTAAAACAGCTGTGGTTGTGCAATGTAAAACCTCAATCAGGTCAACATGCAGGTCCTTTCCTAGAGAAACAAAAAGTCAATGTTGTGTCCTGCAGTTCCCTGACAAAGGCATTTCTCAACTCATGTGTCTCTGTCACGGACCGATGCCTACAGATGAGCTTTACGTCCACCTCATCCTCTTGCTCCTCATATATCAATCAGGCCTGTGAGGGAGAGCCACATATCACGAAAAGGTTGGGAGAAATTGTGATGTATATTTTCTCAAGATCAATACAAATCTTCTTCCCTGCCTCTTCTCTCTCTCTAGTTGGCTTGATTTACCTATCTCCTCTCTCTATTCGTTCTCTCCTGTCCATGTAAAACGAGATGAATATTCTGTTCAAGTAATAGCGTCTGCAAAGGTTGCTTGTGGAGACCCGTAACTCTCTCCTTCTCTCCTCTTTAATCTCTCCATTTCCCCCACACCATACGCAGCCCAAGGCAGCACTCAGCAGTGATATCAAGAACGCAACCGCATCCCTGCTCTGATGCATGCATGCATGCGTGAGTGCAGCCAATATCCTTTACTCTTCTTCCTCTTCGCCACTGCTAATAGAGAGAGATGGCCGAGTACCAGAGGATGATACCGGTCGTCGTAGCCGTGTTGGTGTTCTCTTTCCTGTCTCCTTTGGCTCTCGGTCGATCCTTGGACTCGGTGGACTACGTGGAAGTCCTTTTGGAGGTGAAGAACTCGTTCACGGAAGATCCCCGGCGATTGATCCACGATTGGAACTCGGATAACCAAGAGTACTGCTCTTGGACCGGAGTCGCCTGCGACCGGGACTCGGCAGTGGTGGCGCTCAACCTCTCCTCAACCTCCCTGGCCGGCTCCCTCTCCCCCTCCCTCGGTCGGCTAATTCGACTGGCCACCCTCGACTTCTCCTCCAACCGGCTCACAGGCGCCATCCCGAGCCAACTCGGGCGCCTCTCGGCTCTGACCGCTCTCTTCCTGTACTCCAACCGCCTCTCGGGAACCATTCCCTTCTCGCTCGGCTTCCTCTACAGCCTCCGAGTCGTCCGGCTCGGAGATAACCCGGGCCTGTCGGGGCCGATCCCTGACTCGTTCGGTGATCTCCGCAACCTGACCACCCTTGCCTTGGCCCTCTGCAACCTGTCCGGCCCCATCTCGAGTCGACTCGGCCGGCTGACTCAGCTCCAGAACCTGGTCCTCCAGCAGAACCAGCTCAACGGCCCGATCCCCCCGGAGCTCGGTAATTTGGCCAACCTCCAAATCCTCAACCTGGCAAACAACACGCTCCAAGGCGAAATACCGAGTCGACTCGGCGAGCTGAGCTTACTCTCCTACCTCAACTTGATGTCCAACCAGCTTAAGGGTACCATTCCGGGCTCTCTCGGCAAGCTATCCGCCCTTCGCGTTCTGGACTTGTCGATGAACGAGCTCGAAGGAGAATTCCCAGCCGAGCTCGCCCGGCTGAGTGAACTCGAGTATCTGGTCTTGTCCGACAACAAGTTCTCCGGCCACCTGCCGGAGAATCTCTGCCCGAACGCAACAAAGCTGGGGTACCTATTCCTGTCCACCAACAACTTCTCCGGTCCAATCCCGGCCGGTTTATCCCAGTGCTGGTCCTTGACGCAACTGGATTTGGCCAACAACAGCTTCACCGGCGACATACCGGTCGACCTCGGTGAGCTCACTAATCTTACTGATCTCTTGCTCAACAACAACAGTTTGACGGGTTCGATTCCTCGCGAGTTCGGCAACCTCAGCATTCTCCAGACGCTGACCCTCTACCACAATGAGTTGCGAGGCCGACTGCCGGAGGAGATAGGAAGGTTGCGGCAACTGCAGATCCTTTACCTCTACGAGAACCAGTTGTCTGACGAGATCCCGTCGGCGATCGGGAACTGTTCGAGATTGAGGATGATGGATTTCTTCGGGAACCAGTTCTCCGGCAGCATCCCGGCGAGGATCGGCGAGCTGACGCAGCTGAGCTTCCTGCACCTGAGGCAGAATAACCTCTCCGGCGAGATCCCTGCGTCGATGGGCAATTGTCGGCGGCTCACGGTTCTCGACTTGGCCGACAACCGGCTCACAGGAGGAATTCCGGCGACGTTTGGGCTCTTGCGCTCGCTTGAGCAGTTCATGCTTTACAACAATTCACTCGATGGAGGCATTCCCGACGAGATGTTCGAGTGCCGGAATATTACGAGGGTGAACTTGTCCAACAACCGGCTCAACGGAAGCATTCTTCCGCTGTGCGGATCGAGCTCGCTCCTGTCCTTCGATCTCACCAACAACTCGTTCGACCAGGAGATTCCGGCGCAACTGGGGAATTCTCCGATGCTCGAACGGATTCGGCTCGGGAGCAACCGGCTGACCGGCCAAGTGCCGCCGGTGCTCGGAGGCATCGGCGCCCTCTCGCTCCTCGACTTATCCGGCAATTCGCTGACCGGAACGATACCGGAGGATCTATCATCTTGCAGGGGGCTGACCCACATCATTCTGAGTGAGAACCAGCTCGATGGGGTTATCCCGACGTGGATCGGGAGCTTGCAGCAGCTAGGGGAGCTCGAACTGTCGTCGAACAGCTTCTCTGGGCCTCTTCCTGTCGAGCTCTTCGATTGCTCCAATTTATTGAAGGTCTCGCTTGACGATAACTCGTTGAATGGCTCGCTTTCTCCTGAGGTCGGCAAGCTTGCTTCTCTCAATGTGCTAAACTTGGCCCACAACCAGTTCTCCGGGGCAATCCCTGCATCCATAGGAAGGCTAAGCAAGCTGTACGAGCTCCGGCTATCGCAGAATCTGTTCTCGGGGTCAATCCCGGTCCAGCTCGGACAACTGCAGGACCTGCAGAGTGCGCTGGACCTCAGCTTCAACGACCTCAACGGGGGAATCCCGCTGTCGCTCGCGTCGCTGATGAAGCTCGAAGATCTGAACCTGTCGCACAACTCGCTGACCGGCGAAGTCCCGCGACAAATCGGTGAAATGAGCAGCTTGGTGACGCTCGATCTCTCGCACAATGACCTGCAAGGGCAATTGGATGGGCGATTCTCTCGATGGCCACCGCAGTCGTTTGCGGCCAATCGTGCACTCTGCGGCCGGCCTCTCCAGCCATGCGGCATTGCGAGTTCCACCAAACGACGCTCGACGTTGAGCTCTGCAGCGGTAGCCGTGGTCTCTGTCGTCGGGGCGCTGGTGATCGTTCTCCTACTGGTTGCAGCTTTGACATGGATCAGAAGGTGGTACACGAAGAGATCGAGCGGAGTCAATCGCGCATCTTCGCCGATCGGGCATCGACAACTGATCACCAAAGGCTCCATCAGGCGAGAGCTTACATGGGAAGCGATCATGGAGGCGACGTGCAACCTGAGCGACGAGTTCGCCATCGGTTCTGGCGGGTCCGGGATCGTCTACAGAGCCGAATTCCCGACCGGCGAGACCGTAGCCGTGAAGAAGATCCTGCATTATAACAGGGAAAACTTGATGCTGCAGGAAAATAGCTTCGTGAGGGAGGTCAAAACACTCGGCCGGATCAGGCATCGGCATCTAGCAAACCTGTTGGGATGCCTAAGCAGCAACCACGGCGAGCATCTGCTGATATACGAGTACATGGAGAAGGGTAGCCTGTGGGACTGGCTGCACAAGCCCGAGGCGAGCCAGAAGAGGAAGCGGGAGCTGAGTTGGGAGGCCAGGCTGAGGATCGCGATCGGCCTCGCCAAGGGGGTGGAGTACCTGCACCATGACTGTGTGCCGAGCATACTTCACAGGGACATCAAGTCCGGCAACGTGCTGCTCGACGGCGACATGGAGGCTCACCTGGGCGACTTCGGGCTGGCCAAGGCGGTCGCGGAGAGTCGCGGGAGCGATTCGACCGGCAACACCGAGTCTGGCAGCTGCTTCGCCGGATCCTACGGCTACGTTGCTCCAGGCACGTCCCGTACTTGCAACCAAGCATTCAAGATTGCTATATCTACGTTATCGTTGTATCCATCGACTAAAAAAATCTTGGTGCTGCCATTGTGTTCAGAGTATGCTTACTTCCTGAAGGCGACGGAGAAGAGCGATGTATACAGCATGGGGATAGTGCTGATGGAGCTCGTGAGCGGGTTGATGCCGACGGATCGGACCTTCGAAGGAGACATGGATATGGTGAGGTGGGTGCGGGCTCGGATGACGTCGTCGTCAACAGCGGAGCGGGAGGAGTTGCTGGATCATGCTCTGAAGCCACTGGCACGGCACGAGCAGTCGTCCATGTTCGAAGTGCTCGACGTGGCTTTGCAGTGCACGAGGACGGCGCCTGCCGAGCGGCCGAGCTCGCGGAAGGTGGCCGATCTGCTGCTGCACATTTCTCTGAGAATGCCTCGGATGAGCTCTGGAAAGAAAGTCGCACCATATAACACGCGGAGAAAAAGATAGACTTGAGCTTGGACAGTCTTAGATCAGATGATGAACAGTGGTTTTGTGTTTGTAAAGTTGGCTCTGAACAAAGCCCATACGCTAAGCAAATTCAATGTCAGTATTCCTTGTGAGATTTTGGTGATTGTCAAAAGATCCTAAATAAGAAACAACATTGGAAAGACGATTCTTAAGTAGAGTCAGATGATTAAAATACAACAACGGAATGACAATCTGTAAATCGACTTTAGATATAATTCAAGTGACGGACTCTTAAGTAGTTTGATTTCCTCAGCAAGTCAGACGCAGGACAAGCGATAAAGATTATTCATTTGCGAATTGGATGAGCAGATTCAAATCATGAAAAATACTTCTTACTAATAATGATAGAACACCTGAATTTTATCCAAACTCCCTATTAATAAAGAGTCTCATGCTTTGAGTTCATGCTTTTCTTATTGTTATCTGAAAGGCTCACTCTCATGCTGCATGATACATGGCAGAAAATGCACACTGTGCAGTAAGACATTACATAGAAACGCTTGGGGGTTTGGAGATGCGAATATGCAGGAAATTGATGGAGCATAGTAATCATACAATGCGCAAGATTTATCAGCAAAACACAGACTCACACACCCATATACACAATTCTCTAGTGATACGTGACAGTAAGAAAAATGTGAAGGTCTAACAAAGGTGGCATCGCGATGGAAGAAAAGGTTCATATATCCGTCAGAATTTGTGCAAAAGTACAATTAATTGGTAGAAATCAACACACACCTTCAGTATCAGGAAAGTGAAATTTCTTGGGAGAAATAATAATCTTCCAGCTTAACTGTCTGGCCAGAAAATGCTGCAAAACTTATTCCAAACAACTTTCAAGACACAACTTAAAAGCATATATTGATAGAAATAAAACCCTCATAAAAGACTCCAAGCAGGCAGATGAAGCACTTGACATGTTGTAATACTCAAAAGTGTTAATCATCCTCATCATCTACAAAATAAAAAAACAATAAGTTTAATGAATAAAAGCCAAAAACAACAAAAATCAATATGAGTATTCACAGTCTATAAACTGTAAACCGATGGTCGAAAATTATCCAACCAATAGTCTAAATTTACTGTTTCAACCAGCAAAATTAACAAAAAATAATGATTCACCTGTGGGACCATTGAATCTAGCTAAGTGGAATACTACTTTCGTCCCCCTTCCCCTAAGGGCAAGTAAAACAAGTACAGGTGAATCTGTAATTGGCGGAAGACCGAAAAAGCTACATATATATCAGCCACCAACTTCTTGTTGTTTACAGAAGCCCAACGATAAAGTTCTTTTCAAGAATTAGCACGTTTTTCAATATCATGATCACATCATGATTATTTCACTCTGAACCCCACAGCTATTACTGAGAGAGATGCCTATCTTCAGTGTACAACTCAAAACAGCAAAGAAGGCCATAGAAAATAAAGACAGACCTTGTAATCCCAAATGCCGGTTTTGCAAACTATGCTCACTCAGATCATGAAAAGAGAATAGACTACCCAAGGTAGAACAAGAAAGAAAAGAAAGATGTTGCTACTCAACTATCATTAGGTTAATTGTTTAAAAAAGAAAAAAAGTCCAAGACTAGGAGAATAGACCTCCCAAAAAATACAAACAAAGTGAAAATGGATGTTGTTCATGAACTATTATTAACTTAATTTATAAAAGAAACAATAAGTCTCCAAACATGACCCCTGCAGGCTCACATGCTCTTAAATAAATATACAGAAGAGAAAGAAAAGTTATTAAAAATGAGACTAGAATTCTAAAAGCATGAATAAGAATGACAAGAATACTTGTTCAGCTGATACTAGACCTTTATGGTGATTCTGCTACATCTTAATTTATAAACCTAAAAAAGATTATAAAGATTTCCTACAATAGTTATCAAGAAGTCACATGAAAATCAGTCCAAAAATAACAGAAAAAATAAAAAATCCAATAAACAGAAAGGAATAGTTTTCAAATATTCCTTATCTTTAGCAACTTTTGGACCTAATGGATTGTGAATAGTTTTCAAATATTCCTTATCTTTAGCAACTTTTGGACCTAATGGATTGTTCTAAATACCTGTTGTCCTTTCTAAAGAAGCTTAAAGATTAGTAAGATATGACTGTATCAATTCAGAAACATGTTACCCTCTTCCGATTCATATATGAATTATTTTTGGCTTAAGAAATTACCTTGTAAGACTTCTATAGTAAACCTGTCTCTGTCTAATTAAAAAAAAAGGTAAACTAGTATCTTTTGGACTTTATCTTGCTCTGTACTAACTTTGAAGGGGTTGCTCCAAACTTACTTAGGCCAGCAATTATACTCTATAAAATGTATTCATAATAATGGAATACAAGCATGGAATATGTGGCATTTAAATGATATATTATATTATACATCAAAGTGTGGTATCTGTTGAATACATTATTCAAATTAGTCCCAGTGTTTCTCTTGTTGTTGTTGTTGTTGTTGCTGTTAGTTATTAGAGTTTTTGCTACCCGAACCAACCAAAAATTTATGGACAAATTAGGTATTTGTTCCCAAAAGAATGTTTATAGAAGTTCTTGAGAGCAACCATAATGATCCTTTCATCACAGATACTAACCTAATATTGTTTTCTTCATTTAATTAATCAATCATCCATTTGAATTTTGTAAGGACAGAATGCATGCTAAATAACTAAAAGATAGCTAAAACCAAAGAATGTTGAACTCACATGTTTTTCTTAGGATAACCTACTAAGCACAAAAACACCATCATCATACTCCAGTAAGATAGTTCGGTCGGATAACCAAAAAAAAAGGAGAAAAGAATGCTCAGGGTGATTTATCAAAAATGTATAAAGATGTCCAATGATTTATTTAGTTACGATGATGAAAATCAAACATACTTCATTAGTCCTATCTACAATCACAATTGACATATACATTTTCATTTTTATGTGCATTGACAAACTGTTTAGCCTACACAATGGAGCAGCTGCAGAAACCACATGCTAACAGAAGTCCAGCAGATCCACTAGGCCAGAACAACAGCTTAGGAAATTATTTCATTAATATTTTCCTATGTGAACTAGGAAATTGCAAGAACTGCAAACTAAGAATTTCAAAATTATATGCAAAATCTGCATCAATTAAATGTCAAGTTGTAAAATGTGCTACAATGAGGATGATATTCGATTAACTTGACTTCATAAAGAAGTAAGAAACAAATATGCATCGATAAGCTTCCACCAGAAAAAAAAAAAAAAACATAAAGAGTCATGATGGGATAGCAAGAAACTAGGAGAGAAAAAAGAGTTTGTGATAAAACAAGAACTTGATTGAAACAAATTGTCAGCATCTACCATCAAAAAATTGAAGGACAATCATACAGTTTTTTCTATGCTATCCATTCAATAAAAAGCAAGAATCCTATAGTCATTGCAAATGTAATGAACAAGCTCCCATACTTTCATGTCATATTGAGCTAAGCAACATGCAAGGGGACAATAATTCTATCAAAAATCTAAGTAACTGCTTTAACAAAAAAATTGAGGAAGTTCTACAGGTTCTCCAAATCTTCTTCAATTCACATAACATTTCCTCATACTTCTTTGCCTAAAAGCCTTCCGTGCATATGAATTCTGCATGTATTCAACATATATGTCACGTTTACAAACATTGACCATCAACGAGTGAACATACTTGGTCTTCTTCGATTGCATGCTATGTTACCATCACAATCTTCTGGTAGTCTCCAAAAATACTACCTCATTTTAGATAATATTTCCCAGTCCATCTTCCACAAACTCTTTGTTCTAAAAACCCTCAAAACAGGGTTCATGAAAAGAGCCACATTCTCTATATTCAGTAGTATTACAAGAGTGTGACTGCTAGATTAGGTTTTAAAGTATCATCATGCTAAATATGCACATGGCTAATTGGTAAATAAGCTTTCAAATTCTTTGCCTTTCAACAACTGGACAGTAAACGATCTTCCATCAAATGCCATATTACCAAACCTAGTCATCCGAGATCATCCGCCAATTCCAATTCATATCTAATGATCAACATTTTCCTCACCATCTTCCACAAAGTCGCTCTTTCTCACAAACATTCAAGTGACATGGCGCCCCCAATCTCTTACATCCACTGCCATTAAGCAGAATGAGCAGTAAGATCGGAATTAGGTTTTCAGAGTCAGTCGTAGCAGATACATACGGCCAAATTGGTGGCTGAGCGAAAAACAACAGAAAGAGGGGAGAGAAAGGAAGAAGGAGAAACGAGGAAAGGGTCGAACCGAAGTATCTGCGTTCGTTGGCAGCCTTGGCCTTATCAAGCATCTTGTCGAGGTCCTCCTTGAGCTTCTCGTCGTACTTTACGAGCTGGGTAACGAAGATGGCCCCCAGCCCCATCCCCAGCACGTGCTCCCATGGATCTGCAATAAGGAAGACCGACCGATTGAACCATCGAGTTCGACGAGATCAAATCGAAGAGGAGGATGAGGAATTAGGGATCGATGCAAAGACAAAGAAAGGGCAGAAACGTACGGCGCATGTAGGGAAGCTTGCGGAGGGCGTTGGAGTACATCTGCGTGCTTAACCCCAGAAGGGCTCCAATCACCGTCGCTGTGGCCGGCATCTCTTCTCTCCTTCTTCTTCCTCCTCCTCGTCCGGTGCTCGACCCCTCTCTCACTCGCCGCCTTTGGAAACGAAGTGAGGCAGAGCGATCAAGATCGAACCCTCTGTCCTTTTGTCGCGGATCTCGGGCCCCTCCTTAGCGGATTCGGGCAACCGGATGCTAATCGAAACCCGGACCACAATACTTGGTATTCTATTTGCATATAAGCCCTTGTTATCAAAGTATTTGGATATTGGTTTGACAGGGATCTATATGCTATTATGCAAAACTACTTAAATACTCCATCTCGTGTCACGTGATGATCACGTGATTTATTCGCTTGACGCTATCAAGCCAAACCTAACGCACGGAGTCGATCGAAAGAGGTGGGAGGTCAAGGGAAGATTCGTCAGCGGATCATCGCCATGGGAGGAGGAGGAGGAGGCGAGCACGGATCTCATGGAGGAGCGGGCGCCGCCGGGGACTTCCGAACGAAGGTGTGGAGCATGACCGGTGGGCCGTACTGCCGTCCCAAGCACTGGAAGCGCAACACCGCCATAGCCTTCTTAGGCGCCTTCCTCGTCTGCATCCCTATCGCTATTAAATCCGCCGAGCTCGAGGTCGTTATCCTCTCCCTTGTCCCTCTCTCATGTCACAACTTAATCGTTTCTCGTTTTGACTCTGATACCATTCCGATCTATCACAACATTTATCGTGTGTAACAGTAACTGATGCCACTTTCACTAATTTCTTCGGTCATTTCACCCATTCTCTCTCCCTTCATAGTTTTTAATTAGTACCGATGGAGTTGTGGTGCAAAAGATCTCAACTTTCAATCGAATATGCATCTCACTTCTGAAAATTATATTTCAGGATATGATTCTAACATTTATACACGGAGACTTCTTTTCTAGGGTTAAAGCATTGGTCACACATCTTCTGTTTATTTCTTGGAATTCTGATGAATCACAGACAATAATAATTGACACTTTGAAGATAGATGGATCATGTCACTAATGGACAACACGATGAGTTGTGATCAATTTGCAAGCAAGATGATTGATCCAGACAGTCTTCCTAATTAATGCTCAATACCTAATGGCTAAACTAATAACTACAGGGTAAAGATTTAGAAGATCAAATTGGTTGCCATTTAGGGCAAGTCTTGGGAATTGATTGCATCAACCTATTATGTTTTAGGAATATCACATTTGTGAGAGTGACTGTCCCTCCTTTCAAAAAGTACTAGACAAACAAATATATATTTTTTTAACAAACTTCAGTTTTTCATTGTTAGTGTCTCTGATATCAAAATTTAGATGGATAGTGAGCTTTGACATCATGGTGAAGTTATCCTTTTGCAACCTTGGTAATTGGGGGTTGAGTCATGTAAATGGAAGTTGGTTATGTAACATGGTAAGGTTGTTTATATTCGCGGGAACCTTGCACATTCGACTTGACCTTTTAATTTATCTAATGGCATATGTGTGTATGTATTCTTGTTTTTCCATATAAAAAGCACCATGATAACAACTAACATGTATTATCTGATCAATAGTATTCCTAAAATGACTTATCTCTTTCTTTATCTTTATTTGTATCCCTGTTATTTTGTTGGATTTTTTAAAATATCCCTTTGTACTTTGTAGGAACCTCCTGTTTTGTTTTGTATCCTTGATCATAATTTTAAACCTGATCTAGATGAAACTGAATCAATAATTCCATTAGCTTTACTTGTAGGCTTGTAGCACACGCAGATTTAACATTTAAAACTCTAATTAAATGTTTTATGCACTAGTTTCTGAAGACTCTTGAGTTGAATATGAACTCAGGTTACTTCATTTGAATGACAACTAGGAAGATTTAAGTGACCTATGCCACTATAAATTTGCATGAAAATCAATAAAGTCTAAAGAAAATGGCTCTCCTTCTGTTCACCACAACCTATTCATGATCAATAAACCAAAAGAATAGTTGAAGAGATTCTTTCTTCCCATTAGATCAGCATTTTCTGACATTTCAATAGACAAAACAGCCTCCACATTTTCATCTATAACTGGTTATGTTACACTTTGCGCTTGTTTCCCAGCCATCTTCAACTCCATCAATTTGGCTCCTTCTTCATATTTTTCACGTTCATTGACACAGGAAGAACAAACTGCCATATTTTTCTTGGCAGTGAGAGATCTGATAGCACTGGTAGTGGCAGTGGAGAGAGAGTGAGGACATTAGATTTGAAGAGTGACAGCAGAGGATGACTGATGTGTGAACATAAGACGTCTAGTTAAAGAAGAGGGGTAGTCTGGCAGAAGGTTTGTCAAATCAAGCAAACGAAGGGGAACTATCTGATCATGTGAAACTGATTTCTTCTCTTTTCAATCACAGAGAGAGAGAACTTTTACTTAGTACTTGTTCCCTCTATCTTGCAAAGGATGGAGTATCCACACCATTTTACTAACGGATTCAATTTTAAGCAGTTATATTAAAATGATTAATATGAATATTAGATTTAATAAATATACTTCACATATTCAGCGGTGTGCCTGTTGTGTACCTGGTTCTTTTTATAGGGTTCATGTAGAACAATGTCTGTGGCACAAATTTGTGAAATATGTAGGCCTTAATTAAGGTGAGGTTTTTTATGGTATAGAATTTTAATTTGTCTACCATAGTTTTTCTGATGCATTTAATATAATTGAGCAATAAAGCTAGTGCATTTTGTTTTCCTCTTGCAGCAACGGCCTCATTATCCAGTTCGCCCAATTCCTTCACAACTTTGGTGCAAGAACTTTGGCAAGAAAGAATACTAGTTCCATGTATTAAGAATACTAATATTTGGACTGGTTTTGGGTGTGGTTCTCAAACAGGAGTCAACTTCTTTTCCTTCTCAGATGTCCTTTCAGCGACATGCTCTGCTGTTGTGATTAAGTACTTATTTCATAATATGGCTGAACAAGTGTTTAATCCAGAAGGATTATTTCTTGTGGTCGCTACGGAATAAAGACATATTCTGTTAACCGCATGTACTCCAGGATTGTGTGAGAACTTTTTAATGGGAATATGTTCTATTTCTTGATGTACAAGTATGAAGGTTTCACAATTGTCATTTTCTGAGTTTTCTTGCAAGGCATTGCAAATCACATCTGTCTACCCAAATTGGTTGTTGATAATTGAATCTTCATGATGTATTCTTTTGACCATTGGATCTCTTTCATCAACCCCTAATGGAAGACCTCAGTTGCAGCCATATCATCTGCTACATTTCACAGATAAATGTTTCTTGGAAAAGTCAATATATTTTGCTTTGTGCATTAAGAGGAGCTGCCTCCACAATATTCAATGATTGTCCAGAAAAATTCTTAAACTTGCAAAGCTGTTGACAACAAGTAATGTAGCAAATATGTCAAAAATTATACAAGATCTAGGATCCTCTAGTCTTACACATGGGAGAATGGTTCTAGTTCTTGCAAGATATAAACATATACATGGTAATATATGCAACACTAAACATGCACTGAATCTATACCCAACCCATAGGATCAGAAGATAATCAATAAACTATCACCTTAAGTAGTATCAATATTTTGTACATTATGCTGGATGATTTGTTTATTAAGGAACTCAGTAAGCTTAATCTAATTCGGTTTCAACCATTTCATACACTCTTAGCTTGTAAAGCAACAAATCAATTTACCTTACAATGATTATTTAACTTTGATGACTAAATGATCACCAAATGCCTTTTGTCCTTCAGTAGCATCACAGCTTTAAGTCATTGCTTGGAGCCCTAAGTTGATATTGTAAGAATTCCAACCTCCACACTTGTGACTTTTTATCAATAATATCCACTATAACCACATCACAATTATTATTCTCTAAACTAAGGGAGTTGGTATTCTGCATTTACATATAAATTGTTCTAAAGAGCTATAGACTTAATGTCGATAATATAATATTATACTAAATAGTTCGATATACATTGTAGTGTTGTGTACTGCTCCTATGATTTTGTAAATCAAATCCAAAGCACTGACTTCTGTCTTATAAAAAGATTTCTCTTGAGGGATTTGAATCTGTCTCAGCCCAAAACAATAAGGCACTTTCTCTTTAGCTTTGTATAAATCTAATAGGAATAAGAAAAGCAGGAATCTTAGACCTCGGTTTAGATGTCAATAATTTCATGATATTTTGGTGAGCAGTATATGACTTATATAAGTTTCTCTCTCTAGCCAAAATTAGTATGAGATAATCACAGGATAATTCTTATATAATAGTTAAATATGTCACATCTTAGATTATTTTTTTAATGGAATTATAACAACTTTCGGAACATCTAAAATCAAATAAATAAATCAATCAAAAATAAAATAAAAAAATTTCAATAATACTAAATAGGAACCTCTATAGGTTAATTGTAAAATAAATATATATCAAAAGGTCAATGATTCTAATAGCGTATATTAAAAACTTGAAAGAGTACTCTCGGATAGAGATATTTTATCTTATAGGATAAGTTTATATTATGAAGGAGATAAACTCACATCGTATTCCCAATAATATATTAAATGATGTCTCTCACCCGCAAAAGTTGAGGATATATTTCTCTCAACAACTAATAGAATAATTATCCAATCGTCATGCCTAATAACCCATTAATCTCTAAAGAGAATCATCCTACTTACTTTTGGCAGGAAAATAAAATCTATCTCATATTAGTCAGTACGAAATAATATATTTGAAGCATCTCAATTTATCTTTTAAATATCATTGATTCAAATAATATCAATTAGCCATCAATTGACTTAAACCCTAGCTCAATTGGTCCAAATAAACTTTTATTAATTGAACTAAAATTTAACTAAATTAATTTTTAATTCTTATTTAATCGATTTGGAACGTCTTAGATTGAAGCATCCCTTAATCCCTTAATGTAGCTCAAGTCGATTTGAAATCACCCTTAATTAACGTAACCGAACAAATCTAATTTGATTCAATTAATATTTTTATCTAAATCAAATAAAGTAAGGATAATGAGCTAGACTGTATAGTACTAGGTTAGATTGGGTCAGCCCATCTACCAATCATCTGCACATGATAATATATGCATCGTTACTGAGCCAGCTCATATATGAATTGATCATATGCACGATACATGATTAAATTAATGGATCTAACTGGTTGGTTAGGCCTAATTTATGGATAGCCTAGCCTATAGGCTGAGCTTGGCCTATCGGCTAATTTCAACTCAAATCCTAACTAATTTTATCAATTTCGAATTATAGCATCATACAACTATAATCAAGACATCTAATCATTAGCATTAAATCATTAAAATATAATAAATAGTAATATATTAAATAAATAAAAGAATAATATTTTAAATCAACTATTGTATAAGTCTAATATAAATTAAATATTATAACTAGTATTATGTAAGATCAAAATTATAGAAATTACATATAACATGAATACCTACGATATGTCTTAATATAAAAATAAAATTTTAAATATGTGAACGGATAAAAGAAAACCTTAAAAGCTGTATGTGACATAAATAATTGCATCATGTTTCCATCAAAAAATAAAATTTTAAACACTAATAGAAGAAATTTTTTTTTTTCAAAGGAAGGCAAGATAATCTACCTCTCCTCAATAGTATATAACTCATTGTTCCTCCAACTGTTAGGTTGGCTTAGTAAGAAAAGAAAGGAAAGAATCTTGGAAATATTTTTTTAAATTTTTTTTAAATTTATTTAATCTTTACATTTATTTAATTTATTAACAAAAATAACATCATTCAATATGGAATGTTGAATATTTATTTGTTAAATTTTATTTTTTTAAAATAAATAATTATGTTTAAATTAAGGTAATAATACATAGTTAAATTTATGGAAGGTTAAGAGTTTGAAATCTCATCTAACATATTTTAAATTTTGACAGCATATTACAAAGATAATCTAAGTTTTTATTACTTACCCTTAAAAAAATAATTTACTATTTTATTAAACATAATAAATGCTTGTGATTTGACATAACTCGAAACTAATATCATCCTTATGATCTTGTTCTCTTGGCTGCCTGCATGACTTGTCCAGCAATGTGTTTTATAACTTGTAGCTTTTTGGCTTTGTTCCTTTGCTTTCTTTGACGTTTTGTTCATCCTTCTTCCTTGTTCTTCTTTTCCAGTGTTAATATCTCAAATCCACTGCCACCAGATCTTCGTCGGGTATTGGCCCTTTTTAAGAAGGTTTTACGTAAAATTTTCATTTTATCTGACGAGATAAAGATGATTTCCATCCGACGCAATGCATGTGAAAAGCGTGCAGTATAGTTGAAGATCTTTGGAGTTATATGCATGCAAATACACTTGGCCAATCCAAAACAGAATCAAAAGCAAAGATGGACAGTGGTAAACATGAGAGCAATGTGAATTGATATTGATCTGATCCATAAAAGAAGTAATGTTAAGGAAGTGTCAGATAACCTCAGAAAAGTTTCACCTTCTGAGATCATCTTTCAGAACAGCTTAGAAGATTTTAAGCTGAAAGGAGAAGTAAAGATGCAAAATGAAGGAATCAACACTAACAGTCCCATTGCAGCTGCTCCATTGAGCTTCCATTGCGAAATTCTCCACAAGGGAACAATGTATTGTCCAACATCTCAAGTTCGAAGGTAGATGTCTCCATGATCACTGGCCCCTTCTCATTGGCCTCACTGAAGTCCATCTCGCACATGGTGGGTTGCACTTGCATCTGATCTTTCCCTACTGCATGTCCTACCTCACTTTGCTTTAGGGCTTCCAAGGCCTCCATGGTTCTGTCCCACATGCAATCATCCATAAAACTAGGTTGATTTAATGAAGTGGAGGATATGTTTGTTTGGTCTAAAGAAGCAAAACCATCAGTAAAATTCTGATCCTTGAAGCTCATTAATTCATGGCTGTCTTTGAACTGGAAGTTGGACACAGGTGGTAGTATCTCAGGAAAGGGAAAAGTAGAAGCATGCGGGAGTGACAGCAAATGTGGATTCAAGTCGATGGACTTCTTCATTTTATCAAAGCTTTTAATGGGGGAGGTAATGGTGAAGGGCGTAGTAGAGGTGCAGTGGAGTTGAGAAAGCTCATCTGAATTGTTGCCGGTGGAGGAACGAGAAGCAGGGATTAGGTTATGGGTCATCGGATCCAAGCCTTGTGCTATCAGCTTCTTCTTTAAGCATGAGTTCCAGAAGTTCTTGACCTCATTGTCTGTCCTTCCAGGGAGATGCTTTGCTATCTGAGCCCACCTGAGTGGAGTAAGAGGTAAGATTGAGCTCCTAACATAACCACAGAAAGAGTCAGATTTCTGGCTTTCAAGAAGCATCTGTGACATAGGGTTCACTGTACCTGTTGCCTAAGATCCTGTGCACATCAATGATAATTCTCTCTTCTTCTTCTGAGAAGGAACCCTTTTTTAGGTCAGGCTTCAAGTAATTGATCCACCGTAGCCTACAGCTCTTTCCACATCTCTGTAACCCTAAAATCCCACATGGAAATGTCACAGAGAGAGAGAGAGAGAGAGAGAGAGAGAGAGAGAGAGAGAGAGAGAGAGAGAGAGAGAGAGAGAGAGAGGACCTGCTTCTTTGGGGATAGTGCTCCAGCAACCATGGCCATGGGCGGTGACATACTGGATCAGCTTCTCATCTTCTTCAGGAGACCATAGGCCCCTCTTGACCTTCTGCTTGCTGCAGCAGCGGTGACCCATCACCAGGACCGTACTATCCTCGTCCAAGCACTCCCCTGTCCAATTTAAACAGGTGCTTCACTGTGCTGGCAAACTCAGTCACAAGTTTATGTGAAGGTCCCTTGATGCTGCAAGTTGCATGGACCATTTGCTGGCTTGTCTTATACTCAATTCTACTACTGCTCCATGGTTGTCCTTGTTCTTTGTCATCATCCAACACATGACACTAAACAATAGCAAGTCAAAAGACGAAAGAGGGAGGAACATTCTTCAAGAAGCCAGAGAGTTTGATCAGGTATGCAGCAGGTAGGAATTCACAGTGATAAGCAACCAATCAAGAGGTGTCACTGTGCTTCCTTGAC